TGTTCTTTCACTAAATAAAAGGCAACATGGTAAGAGAAAGGCTGCATCTTATTTATATTTTATCTTCAGCTCTATCAGCGCAGTTAAGCTTTTACACCTCTTTCCTACTTTCCTGTCAATCTTTCCATCTTCCAATCTTTCTATGTTGTGGTTTGGTAGTTGAAGTAAATGCTTTTTTTTCCCCCCCCTGGGGGAAAAAGATAGTATTGATTTGCTGAAAAGTAAGGATAGGAAGCATTACTTGAGGAGTAATTGCGCCTTAATAACAGAAGTAAGGATTTATTCCTTAGATTGTCAGCACGCCACTAAAAGCTACAAGAAGGCAAAAGAGGGAGGTAACATCCTCAATGTCAGGTCTTTGTTTCCTTGCTCTCATGCCACTGGCTTTGCAAAGTGACCCAGTCCCCATAAATGGACATACAGGTCTATCTAAACTACTTCTACAAAACAAGATTTTGTTCGGATACTTTTATGTAGCAGTCATTTGTAGAGCTCCAGTCTGTTCCGCTGCTGCCTCTCCCTAAATCCAGCAGGGAACCGAAATTCAGATTTTCCTTTAGCCTGGGCAAGAAACCGCACCTCTTGTATAGGGTAGGTCTTCTTCAACTTCAGGTGTACTCCTCTTCATAAATTAATGGCATGTGGTTTTGCGGGCGGGGGGGGGGGGGGCTCTTTCTCTTAGAGGAGGCACCTAACTCCAAGACAGCAGAGATTTACAAAGTCTCTAGGAAGGTGTTAAAATGTCTCGAACCACTGTAACAGCACCTTTATTCCAGAGGCCATCTACTAATTACCCAGCAGCACCCATGCCGTGGGAAACACACAGTATAAAAGGGTGCAGCGGGGGGAGGCATGTGGGAAGGGAGAGCGACTTTGCAAACTGATGGGATGGAGGGGACAACTTTTAGGGTGTGGAAACAAGAGGTCAGGCAAAGGCTGAAACGGAGTCCCGGCAGGGGGGAATTCTAGCGTGGGTCTCCGGGTCGCCCCAAGGGCCCGGGGCGCCGAAGCCCTCCGCGTATTGTCCTCCCCGGGCTGGCGGCCGCGTCCTCCACCCACGCTCCCGGCGGGCGGGGAGCGCCGCACGCCTCCGCGGCGCCGACCCGGGCAGCGGGCTCCGGCTGGGGGCTCCGGGCACCGTTCCCGGTGCGAGGGTCTGGGCCAGGGGAGGCGGCGAGGGAGCCTCGCTGCACACTCGCACAGGTTGTCCAGCGCGAGCTGAGGACAGAGAGGGTTAATAATCTCCCCGGGCATCTGTCCACCTCAGCCCCCGACTCGGCTCCTCCGTATCCCCTAGGTCCGCCGTCGATCCCGAAAAGCCCCTTTGACCCCCCACCACAGCCCGGCGTCAACAGCTTTTGTTTTGGCCGCGACGAAAATAACGATCCCAGAGGAGGAGGTGCCGGGGCTGCTGGTGGCTCTTCAGCAAAGGGTTTGAGAGGAGCGGGCAGCCGCGGCAGCACCTCGTCGTTCCCCACGCTCCCCGCGCCCTCTGCCCGCTAATCCGGCCGGGAGACCGCACGCCTTGGTGCTCACCTCACACTGCGAGGCCTGGGCTCCAAAGGGCGCGGGAGGCTGCAGCGCCGGCCGCGGACGGCCACCGGTCCCTCAGGTACACGGAGCGAGCGAGGGAGGACCGCCGGCGCGCGCCTCGCAGCGACCGCGAGTTTTCACGAGCGTCTGGGCGCGCGGCCCGGGGAGCGCGCCCGCGCGCACACGCACGGCGCAGGCGCGCTTTGCACGCTCGGCGAGCGCTCCCATTTTGAGCCCAGCAGCGTGAGGCCCAGTCTTCGCGCTTCGCTGTTTTTTGCCTTAAACCCTGAGTGAAGCCTTGCGCTGCGGTAACCCCGCGCAGTCGTTTTCAGCTCTGCAAGCGTTGTTAGTAAATGTGCCCAGCGCTCTTTGCAAAACTGTCCCTCCTCTGCTGAGACTATCCGAGGACTCTCTTCGCCCCACCTTATGATGGCACCATTGCAACACGGCAAAACCTGTTATGAGAATAAGAGTGCCCACCGGGGGACCCGGGCATTGAAGTGGTCGAGAGGCAGGTGCCACCGAGTCCAGAGGGTGTCTCTCAGTGCAGGGTAGAGGCAGGCAACCAGCATGTTGCAGACCTCCACGCCAAGACAACAGAGCAGGCAGGGGGTACTTGCCCTGGAACAGTACTTAACCCTCTTTGCCAAGACCTTAATGAACAGGTGGAGATTGTGGTTATTGATGGCATTCCCCACGGTTTTGCTCCTTAGAAAATGTTTTTTCTCTCTTTTTCTATATAAACAATTGTAGAGCTGAAAATGTTCTTAGAGATCATCTAAATGCAACCTCTCATTTTTCAGAGGGAAAGAATGCCAAGAAAGAAATGACTTACCCAAAGCCACGGGGCGTTTTTGTGACAGTCTAGATTAATTCAAAGCCAAAGTTACTCTTTCACACTATTTTACCTACCCGTCTTACTCTTCCTTTTCGTCCTTTTTCAACCTAGACTTCAGAGGCATAATTTTGTTCTATTGGTATGTGAATATAGTTAACACTACTCAACTGTACACTGAAAGATGGTTAAAATGGTAAATTGTATGTTATGAATATTTTACCACAATTTTTAAAAGTTGTTCAATAGAAGTCAAATATTGAGTATTAAGCTTAGACAGCCATAAGTATAGTTTAACATCAAAAAGTGAGCTATGGGAAAAAGCATAATAAATGAGATCTAAAGTGACACTTTCAATTTTACTAATAAATGTATACTTGTTCAGTATCCATTTTCTTAAAAAAGTAATGTTGATCCTTAGGCTGATGCTAAGCAAGCCAACGTGTGTTGTCAAGCCAACACTGCCTTTGCTGAGGGTGAGTGGGGAGGCAGAGGTGTGAAAAACCATGTGTTCCTGCTTTATGTATTTCCAGACTCCTCGTAGCTGCAGAGCCTCTGGGGATGTGCAGCTATATGCATTTTTATGCAATTTACACAGTGTCCTTTGAAAATGTCAAGCATAGGACATATGATAACTCACATGGGGAGGTTGAAAAGACAAAGCAATTATCACTGAATGCATCAACATGATTAAATCTGAGAAATATAACACTGAGTGCAAAAAGCAAATTACAACATATGTCAATTACTATGCCTGTTTAAGAACACCCAGCCATAGTGTTTATGAGGGCAAACGTAGGTATATATGTTTACATATATATAATAAGAAATATACAAGTAGGTTACACACCAATTTCATGACAGTGGTTGCCTCAGGCGGGTGAGGAGGGGCATGGGATCTGGAAAGCCGAACAGAAAGGATTTCAACTATTAATCACACACAGGAAACAAAAATGTTAATATTTTAAACAATCTGGGTGGGAATACAAGGGTTTTTCTTATGCAAGTCTCTAAACTTTTATGTTTAAAATGTTTCATTTAAAAATAATGTTGCTGTGTCACAGACATGGAGCTGTATGCTCACTGTGAGCATAAGGTGAATGGTGTCCTTCAAACTGGAGGGGAGTGGGGGTGGGGATCAGCGCCCAGACTGATGAGGTGCGGGGCCAGAAGAGGCACAGAGGGTGCTGGTTGAGAAGACAGACAAAAGTCACCTTATCTTCAGGGATAAAACTATTAAAATCCAACAGGGATAAAGTGTGATGTTCTCTTTGATCCCATCTCTCTTTCATTCTGTGTTGTAAGCACAAATAGAAAGGCTTTAACGAGGGGGAACTTCACAGCTAGACAGCACTCTTAAAGCACGTTGTTAAAACTGCTCTCTTTCTGGATGAACCCGTTTTGAAACCATAAATGTTAACTGGTGATACATGGTAATTTAATATTGCATCTACGTACCTCCCCAAGGCCACCCTCCACCACCAAAGGCTTTGTTTATTTATTTGCATACAACCTGGTCATGTGAAAAAACCACTACTCTGGCATTCAGACAACCTAGGTTCTAATTTCTGTTTGGCCACTTACAGATCTTCAGTTAACTCAAGGAAATCGAAATCTCTATGAGCTTCACATTTCTTTTTCTTTTTAAATTGGAGATATACAAATCCTGCCTATTTTAAAACTATGAAACACAATACAAATGTAGTAGGGTTTACATTTGTTTAAGTTGGAAGAGAGTATATTCTTATCTGTTTTACTAATATCTGTTTACTTATCTGTTTTGTTGGGTGGCAGGGTGCTTTGTTTTGTTTTTGTGAGCTGCTGCCCATAAGAACCGTATTAGATTTATTAAAGAAGGTCTGTCTGAAATTTTGAATTTTGGGTTATTCTCCAGCACTTTAGAGTTCTATCACCAGCAATTATCACTGTGGCCTTATATTATATACCCTTTGTATTTCCTAGCCTTCCTCATAGATTATTTTTTTATCCTTGTGTTGTTACACTGCCCCTCACTACATGATGGGTGCTCAATGCATTTAATTAAATTAGACTGGATTATAAAATTTCCCACATTTGGAGTTATCATTATTAAGGCATGCCATCTGCTGGTTCCCCGATGTATCTGTCAGTCAGCCTAAATTCCTTAATATTCCGATCAATCAAAATTAATGTTGAAGCATTTGTGAGTTTGTGTATTAGGCAATTTTCCCACGTCCTTCCACTTCCTGTTGCAGGTGCTATTCTTTCACTGAACCAGTCCTGAATTCCTTTTCCTCCAACCCTCTTTTACCTGTTGGTCATTCTTAAAACCTGGATAAATGGAGTTTATATTTCAGAAGCTCGGAGTGACCAGAGCAACATAATTTTGGGCATGCTCAGGAGGTTGGCCTGATTTGGAAAATAAATATGTCTTGAATGGGGGTTTTCAATGCTGCTTGTTTCAGGATTGGAAGCATCTTCGTCTTAGCATTATATTGGGAGACCACAGTCCCTCCCACCCTCTTGGCAATCTTGCATGATATCCGTGTGCCCAATTTTGGAGCCAGCCCTCCTGGATCTCCTGGCCAATCAAGAGACCACACATTGTTGCCTGAGAGACCCCGGATGCCAGCGAAAGGATTTATAGGTGGTGATTGGACTACAGGAAACTAGAGGTTGGGGGCTGGGCAAAATCAAAGAAAAAGCAGCTATGGCAACACCAGCGCTTGAGGCTTGAAGAGGGAGTCGAGCTGAAAGAGGTGAGGCAGTGGGTAGTGCATGAAAAAGATGGAGACTCTCTTTTGAGAGCTCCACTGTCATCCTCCTGGGCCTCTTGCAAGCCTTGTCAGTGCTGCAGGGGTATTACATTTTGCTCCGTTTCAATTGCAGATGCTTCATACAACGTTAACAACCAACAAATGTTTATATGCCTATCAAACACTAGGTCTTTTTATTGTATTGCAGTTTTTGCTTTCTAACTAGTTTACTATAAGATGGACCAGTATTTAAATCTAACCATACCCTAATGCCTGATACTTTCCTGATAATATCTGAGGTTCCCTTCTCTAATGATGCTGCAGTGTATAATGAGTGAGTTGTGTGTCAGCAGAGAAACTCAATACTATTCTGCTCTGTAAACTACAAATAAAAATCTAATAATCTTAAGTATATTCTCAGTGCTCAATTCCTGATGTTCTGAGTTTCACCCTACATTTCCACTGGTTTTAATCCTTAAACTGTCCTCTCCACTGTTTCATTCATTTGTTCCATTGATTTAACAAATATTTATCAAGCATCTATTATGTGCTATGACATTAAGAGTCAGGTGAGCTGAGCAGTCTCAGAAAATTACGTAAGCAAAGAAGCATCAGTGTTTTGTATTGATTTCTCTGAGGGATCTTCAGTTCAGTGTGTCTGGGCGGATAGTATATGAAGAGAGAGAGAGACAGATGAGGCTCAGAAGGTAGATGGAGATAAATTCATAATGGACCTAGACCTGCATGCTAAAGAGTGTGGGTATTCTGTAGCCATTAGAGAGCCTCTAAGGGGTTTTGAACTGCACAGGGACACGATCAACTAACTGGTCTTAAAACAAAATGAGACATAAACCTCGTAGGTAGAATGGTGGTTACCAGAGATGAGGAGTGGGGAGAGAATACATTAATAAAAGGGTACAAACTTTCAGTTATAAGATGAATAAGTTCTGGAGACTTAATGTACTACAGCATGGTGACTATATTAATAATAATAATAATAATAATAATAATATAACATTTATTGACATTTGCTAAGGGAGTAGATCTCAAGTGTTCACCCACACACAAATGGTAACTATAGGAGGTGATGGATATTGAATAGTTTGTTCATTTCACAATGTATACACATATCAAAACACCACCTGTATACTTTAAACATGTATAACTTTTATTTGTCAACAAAGAAAACTCTCTAGCAGTAAACTATAAGCTCCATTAAAGCAGAAACCCCTTTTTAAAAAGTATAGTTTATTGATTATGCTATTACAGTTGTCCCATTTTTTTCTCCCCTTTATTCCCCTCCACCCAACACCCCGCTCCCACCAGCATTCCCCCGTTTAGTTCATGTCCATGTGTTGTACATATAAGTTCTTTGGTGTCTCCATTTCCTATACTATTCTTAATCTCTCCCCCTGTTTGTTTTGTGCCTACCATTTATGTAAAGCAGAAACTCTTAGCTTTATACCCCGAACACAGACCTAACAGGTCCTAAGCAAAGCTGGATAATGGTGACAGTGTGAAGAATGGCTTGGACATGGAATTAGAAATGTGTGGCCACTGGAACTTCCCCAGAAAACCCATCCTTGCTGTCAGCATGGAACATGGAACTAGAAACACACATTTTGGGCTAAGGCCATAGGCCCTCTTTCTTCCTTTCTGTCCAAAGAAACATTAAGATAAAAGATAAACATTCAGGAACGTCCATTAGGAGGAAAGAGGTCACAGAAAAAGCAGCACCAAGTTTTATATGTGAAAGGAAGACAAGACAGCTTGCTTCGTCTTGGTGATGGAATGGGGGTAGTTATTTCTGTGTATGTTACATGAAAGTGCCTGTGCAGTAGCCCTGAGTGGTCTGTGCTGTGAACATGTGTGTGCATGCAGACATACACACTGCCTGTCTTCTAGTGTGAAGGGAGGAGGGGAAAACTGTAAGAGGATAATGACAAAAGACAAGGTAGGGCACCCCCACCTTCATGCTTCAGCAGGACTATTCTACCAAGAGGGCTGTTTCTCCTGGCCTGACCCATCTCCTGAATACCAATTTTCCTCAAGTTGATTTAAAGAAAGCCTAGTTCAAATAATTTCTAGCTCTGAGGACCCAGGGAAAAAATGATAAAGCAACCAGTGCAGGGCCTTGGGGAAGCCCTAGGAAAATTCCTTTGTCCTAATTCAAAAATTTCGCTTGGCTTGTTTCCTATACAGAGTGGGAAGAGAAAGAGTTTCTCCGCTTATAGCAGGAGTTTTTAACCTGTGGTAAGCAAAATTTTATGTTCATGTGCATTTTTCTAGTGAGAAGATTCATAGCTTTCATCATATTCTCAAAGAGTTATTTGGCCCTTGGAAAAAATTAAAACAATGAGTTTATTAAGAAGAAAGATCAGACAAATAAATAACAAAAAGAGAAGTAAGAAGTTTTTAACTGGGCAGATCTAGACTCAGTGACCATGCTTTGTATTTATAATTTGCTTGCCCACATGTACTTTCATAGGTGAATTAATAACACTGCAATGAAATTATTTCTTATGCCTTTTGCAACTTAGCTAAATAAGTGTGACTTAGGTAATTAGCTGTTAGGGGGCTGAGAAGAATGTGATGGCTGATCTGACTCCCTTTATTCCAGTGGTCTGATGGCAGCAGGTATTGTCTGATGCAAGAAGGCATTGTCTAATGATGCCACTGAGGTTTTCAAATATTGGCTTTAGCTTCAGCTGTAATTGAAACCTGAGACATACTATTATATGTCAAGTGAGAGCCTAGAAGATTTTAGATCTAGCGTTTGGGGGAATCCCATGTCAATCATAAATGAATGATTTTTTTTATTTTTAACTGTCCAATATTTGTTGCTGAAGAGTAATTTCTGGAGCCCATAGATCAGGCAGGCAAGGCCTGGTCCCCTCAGTCATCACCACTGCCTTTCGATATGAACCCAGCTTTAGAGAAGAAGGACGGCAGAAACACTGAGGATGTGCATTGAAACCACCATCAACTTGCTTTAAGTGTTTTCCACCTTAAAATATTTGCCAAGGCCTTCTCAAGGACAGATATTGAGGCACCTGTGAATGATAAGATCAAACCTACATGAGGTAAAAAAATATTTTGGTTGTGAACACTGGAGTCTTGATAATGTACCCAAAAGAGGAAATTTATTGCAAGGATATCAGGGGGCTCACAAAATGGACAAGAAAAGACAAGAAGTTTCTGAGGGATGAGGCCACAGGAACAACTTAACAGAGCAGCAATGCTACCTTGAAGGACCACCCCGGCTGTAAAGTAAGGATAAGCCAGCATCTGTCCGGCTGACCTACCTCTGTTTCGAGACCACCTCTTGGCCAGGAAAGGGAAGGCCACCTTGATCAGCCAACCCAGCAAACTCTAGACAATGAGAGAAAAGTAATTCCTCATGGAAATTATAGTGCTTTAATAAAATGAAGGCAGACGTATACTGAACATTTAAAAACAACACATTTCCCTCAGTAAACCCAAATCTATCTGTCTCCTAAGGCGTGGTATTTTATATTATTATGTCATTCTACTTTTTAAATATGGTATCAAGCTAGAACCTTTGTTAGTTAGATGTCAGAAAGTTAAGAGAGGGGAAAGTCACGAGGGACAAGGGTGGAGTGTTTTATATTGCACTATGATTTTATAAATTGAATTACCTCTTCTTTCTAGCCAATATGGTATGTTATTAGCTAGAAGTAATTCTGGATTTCCCTCCATGGTTCAACAAAAATAGAGTTAAACAAACCTGGGTCTAATTTCCAGTTCCATCACTTACTGTGTATAATTTGGGGCAGAGTGTGTAGCTTAAATGAGCTTCATTTTCTGTATCTATATAATGACCTAAAATCCACCATCTCACCAGATTGTTAGGAACTTTAATTGAGCATACAGATAAAGTGCTTCCAGTAAACGTTCTTCCCCTCAATCCCTTCTCTCAACATGCTAAAAGATTGTGTGGTATTAATATACTCAGTATTCTGAAGATTATATGATTCATTTCTTCTGCTAGGTATAATTTTTCTCACAGAAGAATACTCAGTTACTCATGATGGCATTTGCACCTCCAAAAAGCATGGATGGTCCCAAAATGCAGACAAAGATGAGTACCTGGACACCCTTAAACCACCAACTTTTGAATGACCAGGTGAGTGACCAGAGCTATTTTATCAGATGCATCCATGCCTTAAAGGGAAGAAAAAGTATTAAAAGTTTGGTGGTCAAAACATGAACAGCAGTTGTTTAGGATTGTGTAATGGGAGAAAAAATGAAGGATTTTTTTCAAACATTTTCGAGTCCTTGCTATGTGGGCAAGGTTGGCAGTAAGCCGAGTCCCTACCTGTGATGAAAATGTCTTAGATTTGTTCTTTCCTCCACTCGCTGCTCCTCTCTCTCGCTCTAAATATTTCTTTTCTTCTATTGCTGGTTCTCTGCTGGAACCACCAGAAATGAGAGAGGAGCAGGTGGTTTACGAGGAGTTCCCCCAAAACAGGTTTTCTTGCTAGATTTGAAGTTACTAGATAATGCTGCACATTTAACCAAATCAATAAAATAAATAAATCACATCCCATTATTCACGTGACTCAGGTTCTCCTAAGAATTTATTTCCAACCTGCGCTCTGGGGAGGCACTAGTCGAATTCACCAAACAAAGGATTGCAAGGGTGGGGAGCTGAATATCATGCCAGGGCATGAGACTGGCTGACCTCTGGAGATTTCTGTTCCTTTTGCAGGTAGGATCAGAATTTACTAACTGGTCTGTGTGCTCCTGTTATCAGTTCAGTTGACTCCTGACCCACAGGTGTCTGAACTGTGGGGGTCCACTAATACATAGAATTTTGACTATGTGGGGGTCAGCATCCCTAAACCCCTCATTGTTCAAGGGTCAACTGTGCCTATAAAAGGACCACATCTACTTGGCAGTAAAATCAACATCAATAGAACCAATCTCTGCCCTGGCCAGAGCACTGTCCTGTACACCAAAAGGTTGAGGGTTCGATTCCCATTCCGGGCACAAACGAGTACCTCGGTTAGGGGTTTGATTTCCTGATTGGGGAGCACACAGGGGCCAACCAATTGGTGTTTGTCTCTCACATCAATATTTCCTGCCTTCCCCGCTCTCTCTCCAAAATCAGTAAACATATCCTCGGATGAGGTTTGGGAAAAAAAAAAAAAACCCGACCTCATTATCTTGCTCCTACGCACTAGTTCCTTCCTCTGGTGAAACACCAAGTTCCACTTCCCACTACGTCACTTAAACCAGATGACTTCCTTCTCTCTGTTGGGTCTGGAATTTGGTTTCCCTCAAATTACAAGTTAATAACTTAGCCTGTTACTTATGGCACAGAAGATACTACAGTCTCACAGTAAAAGACACGAGATTCTTGGATCAGAGACAAAGAACTTCATTGTTCACAGTGCAGCAAGCCGTATGAGCATCGTGTTTATGTTGGTTCTCCTTGCCTGCCTGTCCACCAGGAGTGATGCAGGGGGCCTAGATAAATACTATGCATACCACTGGTTTGTGCCACAGCTGAGGAACATGAGCCCAGAGAATCCACTGCTTCCATAGTGAATAGTAAAAAAGCCTGCTCTTCATCCCAAAGGGAAATAGTACCTCGTTGCTCAAGGTTGCCTTGCTGCAAACAAAACTTGGAGAAATGGTGGTCAGGGCCTTGCATTCCTTGTATTCCAAGAGCTTTCAGAGTGTGAGAGGCCCAGGGAGCAGTGTCAGCCAGCACCCCCTCACCTCCATATGCAATTCATTTTCAAGTTCTAGGAGCCTTCCTCTGGGCTCCTTTTCTCCATTGACCTACATTTCTCCAGCTCCACATTCTCACTTCACACCCTCATCACCCTTTGCCTGGTGCATTTCAGTAACCCCCAACAGGTTTTGCTGCCTTTATCCCTACCAATCCATCCTCTGTTTTGGTTCAGAATGATATTTCTAAAATACTAATCTAATTCTATTATGTAAAACCAATAGTAGGCCCTACTCTGAAGAGTAAATTCTAGACTCCAGATTCCTGTGCACAGCATTGAGGAACCTCCCAGTTCCAACCCCTGCTTCCAACACTGCTGCCTGTCATCCTATATCCAGGTCAACTAAGTGGACCGCAGATGAACCATCTCTCTCACACCCCCACACCTTTGCACGTGCTCTTCTCATTGCCTCCTAGAAGAGTCAATTCAAATATCCTATTTTCTGGGAAGCCTCCTCCTGCTTGCTTCTCTTTGTTCTCATTGCTTTTGGCTGACCTTCCTACTCAACTCTAATGCGTTGAGTTGAGATTGTATTTTTTCTCTGTCTCCAGTGCCTGAGAGGGTTCCTGAAAAACAGACATGGAGTCATCCTGGGACCCCCCTCCATTGACCCTCAGCTTCTTGTCCCTACAGCCCTCCTTCCTTGGCCTGGATTTGGCCCTTTGCTCTCTGAACCCAACAGATACGTTCATCAATCTGGCAAAGCTGGAGGAGCACCAATCCTGACCCCTCCTGCTTAGTACTTTCCTATTTCTATTCCTCTGATGGGTAACATGAGCAGTTTGGCGAGTGAGACAGAGGAGCCAGCATAGTGACCAGAATAATGAGAAATAAAAGGGAGGGGGAGACTGAAAAGGGAAATGATAAAGGAAGGAAAAGAAAAGTAAGAAATAGAAAAGGAAGGATCAGGAGAAAAAAAGGAAAAGGGGGGAGAGAGAGAGAGAGAGAGAGAGCGAGCGCACGCTCAGCGTTCATCCAGCCCTGAACAACATGGGTCTATTGAAAGTCTTTTTTATTCATCTCGACAATTATTTGTTCATCACCTGTTTGCAGTGTTCTTAGCTCTCCAACAGTTTATATAACGACTTCTCTGCTCGCCTCCCACACACCCAGAACTTTAGTGTTTAGTTTTGAAATCTGTTTTCCTATGGAATGAATGGTGAAGATTTTACATACGAGTGCAAAAGTGACTCAAATTGAAATACATATTCATTGGATGCCTTGCTTTTCAGAAGTTTTCTTTAGAAAATTAGAAGTCTTAAGTAATTCAGGAACTGTGGAGGAAAAAAGGTCTTAATTGCCTGATGGCCTGTTTGTTGTAGATTGGGTCGCTAGAGAAGCAGCCCCTGAGATAGGCATGTAGGGTGTTCACTGGGGAGGCGCTGGGGACCAGCACCAGGAAGGGCAGGGAGCAGAGGAGGGGGCAGGGAAGGAAGCGGAGGGGAGGAGCGGAGGTTTGGGGCAGAGGAAGAAGCTGGGCTGTGATGCACTCTCAATGAGGCCTCCACTGGCCGGGTAGCCACCCTGAAAGTCCTGGACATGGCAGATCTCCCAAACTCATGGCTGCCGGCCAGCTCTCACAGCAGGTGGGGGAATAAATAAGTCCTTTAGTCCCACCGGGGGTTCTGGGCAGTGTGTTATACAGCAAGCATTGCATTGTCTTAATCTTGGTTCTTGATTAGCTTTTGTCAAATTGAATAATTTCTGAGATAATATTTATTTTGTTATTCAGACTTCCCATTTTATTCCAAAAAAATTATTTTTTGGTTTAGTTAGGTTCTAGTTTGGAGTAACATTATTTTTTAAAATCTTCACATGTATATAAATGTAAATAGACATGCACATATAGTTCATGTATGCAAATACCAAACTCCCAATAGTGGTTTCACCCAGAGTTGAGCGGCACTGGGAGAAGTGGGCCTGTTAGAAGAGAGCTTTCATTCTTTTTACTTTTCACAGTGCATTAAGATTTCAAATTTTAAAACAATTTAAAAAATAAATATAAATACAAGTAAACAAAGAATAACTTTGGGAATTGAACATTCTGTTTCTAGATCAGCTGTTACAATGATTTCCTAAGTGACTGGAGGAGGTCCTCTACCTTCTCTAGTCTTTTACTACATTCCTTCATGAAGTGAGTAGGTTGGATCATATGACTCTGAAGGTCCCTTTCACATCTAACATTCTGGCTGAGTGAAAGGGACTAACAACAGGATACAGCTGGTCTGAATGTGTCCAAACAATAATTTCAAGAGGTTTTCTACACTTCTGAAACAGGGGTTTGTCACCACCAATCTGTAATTTTGATGTCCTCCTTTTTTTGTTTTTGTTTTAATTTTCTTCTATTTTCTAATAAAACGTGAAATAATGTAACTATTCCAGACTAAAATAAGAGTCACAGGATTTTTAACATCATTGTAGGCTTTAAGCAGAAAGATTGAATTGAAATTCAGATGCCTAAAAAAAACCCCAGCATCATTAGCATTAGGTAAATATAATGAATTTCAAAATAATTCAAGTATTGTGAATTTTGAGAGGAGGAATGTTTTGGCCATCTAGTGTCTGAATTGAAAGTAACCAACTTTTTTTTTTTCAAGTATAGTTCACAGACGTAGTACAGTACATGTTAAAAGGGTGTCCTGAGAAAGAGCATTTTGTTACCATCAATCAATCATCATTTAGGAGCCTCTGTCTTACTCCTAAATTGTAATAATGTCGCTTAGTGAAATATGTAACTGCAGTGTCGATAGACTGAAATGACAACGTAGGATTTTGATTTAACAGCACACCCTGAATAAACAGTGTTATAAACATTCTGCAAGGAAAGAAGATCCATTTTTATATTTCCATTTTGAATCGATATTTTGTTTTCCAGCTCTTTAAGGCAAAGAACATGATTGATTGCAAATCTTTGAAATGAAGACTTGCTCCAAACCATAAGATAGAAGACTGTAACTGAGGACCTGACAATTAAATAATTTGTCCCAAATTATATGTCTCATCAAAGATAGAATCAGAACCAGATCTGAGCTCATTTGGTGTTTCCCCTCCCCCTTCACTCCTGTCAGTTTCTACTTGAGTCTAGATGCCTTGTGATAAAGAACCAGATGTGGTTGGACCCTGCTTAGACTTGATCACTGGTCCTTTAAAGACTATTGTTTAGTCTTTAGCTGAATAACATTCCTGAACAAAAAGCATTCATTTGAGCAAAGGGATTGCAATCCGACAGACACAGGTTCAGGTAGCAACCCAAACTGCACTCTGGAGAGAGCAAAGAAAGGCAGGATTTATGAAGACAAAACCCACAAAATGTAATTCTTTCATGCAAATGAAGGAGTGCTAGCTAGGTTAACAAGGACTGATTAGTTCCAGTATGCAAATGAGGAAGACAGGAACTAATAGGAAGTAAGTAAAGTCCATATGCGTCCATGTAGCAGTTACTCTAGGTGTTTGTGGCTCAGCCTTAAGCTAAATTTAGCAACAGGCTTGCAACTTAATGCAGCTCTGAGACTTGAGGCGCAAGATGTTCATAGGCCCCACTTCCTTAATAATCTTCTAACTCTATTTTAAGTGACTCTCGTAGCAATATTTATTCCATTATTATTCGGACCCTGCTTGGACTTGGTGGTTGGCCCTCTAAAAACGGTTGTTTTAGCCTGACTAACACTCCCCACCTCCCACCCTACTCCTGTCCTGCTACTTCTTGCTGATTCCCCTCGCCCCTTCAAGTCGGTGCCCCTTTGTTTCCAATGCTCTGTGTTGTCCTTGGCCACCATCATGGTTGTCCCATCCTCCTTTTGAAAGGAGGTTGTGCTCTTGGGGTCTACCCTTTTCTCCCACTGTAAAGCCAAAGCCCGCTCGCTGGGCTGGAGGTCAGGATAGGGAAGGCCACATTTCTAAGTGAGGAACCAAGTGAGTTGAACTGAACAGTCTGGAACCAGTGCTTTTTTAAAAGCTATAAATGTAACCCCATTTGGGCCTCTGGTTAACCTCTCTAAAACAAGGAAATTGAGCAAAAAGATCTTTAGGATTTCTCTGAGTGCCAAGATTCTATGACCTTTGAAGCTTTGTTGTTGTTGTTATTGAATCAGCAGGTATTTTGGGGGCGCCTGTCACAGAACTGGTGGAGCAAGTAGAGGAAGTGGTTGTAATCTGCATGGGAAGATAAAATGAATGGGAACAACTAGAGAGCCATAGCAAACTCTCCGGAGGCCAAATGGAACACGCACTATAAGTGGAGTGCGAGTTGGGAGGAGCTAGGTGACTGGGCATCGGGAAAGTGGTGTTGTGGACAACTTGGTTTGGGTGGCAGGTGACTGATTGGCTTCGGTTAGGTAAAGGAGAAGAATTCAAAAAATACTTGAATCCAAATTTTTGAATCTTCTGTTCTTTAGGTTCTCTTCTATTTTTATCTAAAAATTCTGAATTTATCTGTTGCTGTTATGTAGGGTCCTGGTAGCTCAGGTGGCAGCTAATTAGTGGGGAGGAGAAAAGGGCGTTCTTTTTCTTCTTCAATGTACAAAGAGTGTCTACCTGTGATGGATGAGATTCCTGGCCAAAAGCAAAACTGACATTTCGCTGGTTTTAAGTTTGGCATTGAACCAATTATCTCAATCCCCGTTTTGTATGCCCTTTGAAACTAGGGTTTGAGAGTCTAAAAACAGAAGGAAAGCACGGTCTGTTAGAAGCACAAAGCCAGCTCCTCATCCTTCTCCACAAAAAGGGAAAAAATAGGCCTGAGTTTCTCTTCAAGTAAGAACATTTTGCAGTGCTAGAGAATTTAGGGAGTGCTAGGAGGAAGGGGAAAACGTCGATTCCAATTTTTTAAAAATTTCAGTCATTTTTTATTTTTTATTTACAGTTGACATGTGATGTTATATTAGTTTTAGATGTACACCCCAGTGATTAGACATTATATAACTTACTAAGTGATCGTCCTGATAAATCTTGTACCCATCTGACCCCACACATAGTTATTAGAACACTGTTGACCATGATCCCTATGCTGTGCTTTACATTCCTATAACTATTCTGCAACAATCCCTTCATCTTTTTTACCCGTCCCCCCAACCCCCCTCCCATCTGGCAACCATCAACATGATTCCAATTGTGAAAGCTGACAGGTTGCATGTGTGGGAGTTAGAGAGACATTTACATCTGCTCATTACTTTCTCTTGCTTCCTCTCTCCATAGTTCCCTCCCCTGCCAAACATTCTCACATTCATTTTCCCTTCCTCACTCATTCAAATACACCTATGACTCACGCTCAGAAAAACACCTCAGGACCAATGGGTAAATAACTCATGTGTACCAGTATATCCATGAAGATTATCATTGTCACATTCAGTGCCACATTCATTTAATCCAGCAAACACGAATACCTGTGACATACTGTGTACGACACTCTACACTGGAGATGGAAAGATGAATAAGACATTCTGTTCTAAATAGTAAATAACAACAAACCTATACAGATAAAGGCTGAGTTGTAAGTCCAGAGGTACACATACAAACATTTCTGATCCTACAAACATGTAAGTATATGTATAGCCACTGATATGTGTATGTAGTGAAATATAAAAACAGCTGCTCAGCCCTGGCTGGTGTAGCTCAGTGGATTGAGCACAGGCTGTGAACCAAAGGGTTGCTGGTTCAATTCCCAGTCAGGGCACCTGCCTGGGTTGCGGGCCAGGTCCCTCAGTGGGGGCCACATGAGGAGCAACCACACATTGATGTTTCTCTCCCTATCATTCTCCCTGTCTTCCCCTCTCTCTAAAAGTAAATAAATAAAACCTTTAAAAAACATATCCATTAAAAAGAAAGAGCTGCTCTTTCATAAATTCACAAGTTCTGAAACTATTAATACTGAAATATTTGGAGGGAGGATCTCCATTTCCTGTTTTTCCTTTGTCAGCTTTTCCACCTCCTTTCAAATTCTAAAATTTATTTCACTTTACAATTTCATTCTTTTCTTATTTCTTGCCTTTAAAACATTATTACTTCTGCCCTGGCAGGGTGGCTCAGTTGGTTGGAGCCTTGTCCTCTACACCAGTGGGTTGCAGGTTCAGCCCCCTGTCGGGGCTCGTATGGGAGGCAACCAATCAATGTTGCTCTCTCACATCAACGTTTCTCTCTCTCTGCCTTCCTCTCTCTCTCTAAAATCAATAAACATATCCTAGGGTGAGGATTAAAAAATTATGACTTCTTTAAGATGAATTATTCCACATGCAGGAACTGAGAGAAAAGGTACCTTGCCCAAATTAAAAATAAGTACCTCCTCAGGAATTAAATAAATCCCTTTATACTCAGTGGACATAATGAAAAGACTACTTATTTAGTGATAATACTTTAATGATGTCTTTCTTGTAATGGGTATTTTGGACCATGAATTATGAACTTATTCTTTTTTATTTATTGTAGGTATTTGAAGAAAGAAGAGCTCTGCTTGGAAAATGGGTAACCATTTAAAATATACTTACTTCTATATTTGAAGCAGATAGAATATTCTTGCTCCTGTATTATGTTATGTTACCATAGAGCCCAAAGAATTCAGTTTGGATATAAGGCAATCCATGATGATAGCTCATAGCCTGAGAAGTTTGATTGGTACTTTCTGTATCAGTTACAGTTACAAGGAAAACAGAAAATATACCAGTTATTTTAACAGACACAATTAAACTTAATAAATAGCACTGGTTGGACACACACTGGAAAATGGAAAAGAGAGCACCGAGGTGCTGTGGAGATGGCACTGCAGGAAGTAGCTGCTTCCAGCTTTGCTGACACCTCAGGAGCTCAGAGAAAGGACCTTGTGGAGTTGGGACCAGCCCTAGGCAAGGGTGGGGGGCAGATTTCTGAGGGATAAAGTAGACAGCAGCCAGCTGATTCCTACATATCTGAGGAAGTGAGGAAAAGATTAGACGCTGGAATCAACCGTTACCACCTGGGAGAAGAGTTAGGGTGATGCTGCCAAGGTCAGCAAAGAAACAGAGGCGTGAGGCTCTTCTACCTCGGTTTCCCTCTAGTACCGCCCTCTCCATTGGCAACATTTAATAGGGAGTCAGCTGTCAAAGGGGAAATACGGTTTATAAAGACTCAGCCTTCTAAGCTCACAAAGTAGAAGACAGGAAGGTGAGTTTAGATGTGAGAAGCAAGAGCTCACTAACCAGCACAGTTCATCCATTGGCTACTTAGCATCCATGTACACCGTTAGACACATGCTTCAGGTTGTTACAGTAACAACTGTATGCTGGTATCTAATAAGGTACAACTACCCTTTATACAAATGAGGACTTTCTTACTCTCTCCTTAAAGGAGGCACAGAGTACCCGTGGTCATTACCCACCCTTGTGTCTGGATTAAAGTATCCACCTCTGGCCGATGTTCATTACTTGTCAAATCACTCTACAGTCCTGTCTAATAGTCTCTGTCACCCGGGAGAGTTGAAAACATGCGGTCATGCAAAAACTTTTACACAGATGTTCATAGCAGCATTATTCATAATAGTCAAAAAGTATAAACACCCAAATATCCATCAACTTATGAATGAATAAGCAAAAAGTGGTATATCCATACAATGGAATATCATTCAGCCTTTAAAAAGAAGGAAATTCTGATACAAGTTACAATATGAAATTTGAAGGTGTTGTGCTAAATGAAATAAGCCAGACACAAAAGGATAAATATGGTTGTACGATTCCATTTATTTGAGTACCTAGAGTGGTCAAATTCATAGAGACAGAACATACAATAGAGATTACCAAAGGGTGGGATGTCATTGTTTAATGTTTACAGAGTTTCACTTTGAGATGAAAAAGCTCTGCAGATGGATAGTGGTGATGGTTGCACAACAATGTGAATGTGTTTAATGCCCCTAAACTTTACACTTAAGAATGGTTAAAATGGTAAATTTTATGTTATATGTATTTTACCAAAATTTTAAAAAGCAAGGATAGGAAACAACAATGAAGCACCGATACATGGCACAACATGGATGAACCTTGAAAACAGTATGCCAAGTGAGAGGAACCAGATACAGAGGCCCCACAGTATATGATTCCATTTATAGGAAGTGACCGGAGTAGGCAAATCCATACTGACAGGAAACAGATGAGTGGTTTCCAGGGGCTGGACGAAAAGAGGAAGAGGGATTGACTGTGATTGGTACACGATTTCTTTTTGGGGGCAATGAACGTGTTCTAGAATTAAAAAATAATAGCTACACAAGCTTGTGAATATACTGAAAACTACTGAATTGTACACTCAACATGCTGAATGTTATGGCATGTGAATTAATTGAGATATAATTCACATGCCATAACATTCACCCTGGCTGGTGTAGCTCAGTGGATTGAGCGTGGGCTGGGAACCAAAGTGTCCCAGGTTCGATTCCCAGCCAGGGTACATGCCTGGGTTGCAGGCCATAACCCCCAGCAACCGCACATTGACGTTTCTCTCTCTCTCTATCTCCCTCCCTTCCCTCTCTAAAAATAAATAAATAAAATCTTTAAAAAAAAAAGATATGAGAGATTATCGAATTCCTGGACAGTTAAGCCTTCCATGGATTATTTGCTTTTTGGATTATTCCTAGTACCAAAAGGGGATTTCCCCCAACTGTTAAGCATTATTCTGAGTCATCAGTTTCAATTGGTAGGAGTTCAAGGAATGCAAATTCATTTTCTGTCTAAACAAACATAGTTAGAAAGGAAAATTCCTTGAGGCAAAGAACACCTACAAAAGCCAAATTTCAATTACCTTGGACCTTTGTAATCAGGGAAAGGAGAAACCCACGTAATTTTCTTTTAGCTTCTAAAAAAAATGTTTGTTTTCTCTTATAGATTTCTTCAGTATTTTATAACCCCATAAAACACTGTTCTTTTATATTCACTTAAAATCACTCCTTCAGCTTGAGCCTGTGCTCTTCTGGTGGACATTAGTGAAAGTAGCTGAGCAAACCGCAGCCTTTCTTGATGTAGTGCCCGTTCTTGTCAGTGTACAAACTTGGTAATTTTATGCTTTTTAATGTAATTGTTTACATTTATTTCCATTTTATATTGATTTAACCTACATACTTACTATTTTTAAATTCACTATGATAATTTATTTTAATAGCTGCCATGTCTACAATGAATCAGGTACTCTATCAGGAATTTTACACATATATTATTTATTTACTCTTCACAACAACCCTGCAATGTAGATATAATTATTCTTAATGTATAAATGAGGAAATTGAGACTGAGAGAGGTTGTTAGTGGGTGAATTGGGATTTAGTCATTTATTTCTAATGAGTATTAGAAATAACGGTCTCATTCCCAAATCCACCATCAACATAACGCCACACTTCTTTTCTCCTGTTGGTATGTTACAGTTTGCTTAGCTGGTCCCCTGATGTTAGACATTCTCAGTTATTTCTGATTTCTCGCAGTCATAATAACATCTCAGGAAAATTGTTTTGTAACTAACCATAATTATCCTGTGTCCCTATGAAGCTCAGTGTCTACGGAGCCAAATAGCATGGCCTAAAAATGATTTGAAAAATAAATTTCAATTTTCATTTTGTTTCTCAAAGGAAAATATTACAGAGGATCCAGTTCAAAACTTTTAATGCTTCTCAGAGCTCCTCCCTTTATTCCCAGTTCTCTCACACACCGTAAGTGCTATCCAGGCAATGACGGCCTGAACCCCCAAACACCCCATAAGCCAAAACCCTGAAGCTCTTCTGTCTCCTACCCTTGGCTCTTTCTTTCACAGATCACTGTATCCTCTGGGGCCTGTTCCTTCCCTGATCTTAGACATTCTATTCTGGCTTCTCTCTGTTCATTCCAATAATCCATCCCGAAAGGAAAGAAGTTGGAGATAAGAATTATGCAGAAACAGGGATAGCACAAACCAGGAAACATTTACATGAATGAATACATGAATACATGAAACATGAATACATTTTATTCATTTATTTGTAAATTATTTTTTTTGGTATTTTTATCATTTTAGAGTTTTTTCCCTCTTAAATTATACTCTCCCAAGTGAGATTTGTGGGTCATCAAATAGATCTATAATAGTGAATAGTTTTAATTAAGAAGTATTCCTACTAATTAAAAGAAATACATCGTATGACTATAATGAAGTTGACTTTCAGGCTTGTACAAAATACATTTTTGCTCTATATGCCTTTTTAGGGAGTCAGTGTGTAACTAAAGTCCATTGTAAAATTCTGATTACTTTATAATAACTGTAATAAATATCTACATGTGAAATGCAATAATATACAAAATACAAGTAGCCCCAAACTTCCCTATTTTCTCTAATGGGCAAAAGAATGTAAGAGAGATTTAGATTCCAGTCAAGTGGCTTATTCCCCTGGGAGGTGTTCCCATAGAGCCTTTCTTTGGGTTTTAGCCAACCCTCAAGTTCTTACCTTTGATCAGCCACTGATGTTTGGACTGACTGAGGTTATCTCTGGGGGAAACTGGGAAGTAACCAAAGCTTGGTGGGCCCCTGATTACTTTGGCATCTACTTCTTGTTTCTGAAAGTCTTTTTATCCAGGTCTTCCTGTTGATATTTTGTCTCCAGTCACATCAATCACTTACAAATTAGTGGGATTTCGACCCAATAGATGCTCCTTCTCAGGGATATTTGTAGGTAATACTGCATTTCCAACTGTGAACACAAAGGTTTGTTTCTGGTCTTTGAGCTGGTTGGTACACGACGCTTCGGGAGGAGAGAAGCTGCCCCGGCACCTTCTTTTGATGTATTTTACAAATCTGTGTTCTCTCAGTTTATGATATGGCCAGCTCCCAACTTGCTGTTCTAATTAACTGCAAGTGCACGCTGCACATACTCAGATCTTGCTCAGATTCACGCAGATAAGTGTGAGAAAGGGCATGTAGGTGGCAAAACGTGGAATTCACTAATTAGGGAAAGAAATACATGCCATTCATTAGGAATAAATTACACAACTCACTTTCTGTACCACTTTTATCTCTTCTTGGTAACGAATCTCTGGTATCAGATTAAATCTGGAGCTTTTTATTTTCTTTTGTCTTTTTTTTTTTTTCCAGTTTGACAAATGGACAGACTCTCAAAGGAGAAGAATCCTGACGGGCCTGTTTGAACGCTGCTCCCTGTCACAGCAAAAGTTCTGCTGTCGAAAGCTTCAGGAAAAAATTCCAGCAGAAGCGCTGGATTTTACTACCAAGCTTCCAAGGGTGTTATCCTTATACATCTTTTCTTTCCTGGACCCCCGAAGCCTTTGTCGTTGTGCACAGGTAAAGGCAAAGAAGCAGCGTAGGGCATTTTGTAAGGACAGCCTAGAAACTCTGGGACTTTGAAAAAAGTACACATAGCAGGTCCTCAAATAACATTGCTTTGTTTAACTTCGTTTCAATATAATGTTGATGAGATGCCATAGGAACTTAACTCTGTCCATTAGCCTACGGTAAAACTGGTTTCATTATTTGTTATTTCATTTAAAGTTGCAGGCCTCATCGACAACATTGGATGAGGACTTAACTGTGCACAAAACCAAGAAATAGATGAGATGGTCAGCAGGTTTAGTCTGTAGAGGTTTGATTCACCACTGTCTCCTTTGTGTCTGACTTTGTATTTAGTGTTCAAAAGGGGAAAAAAGTATAAAGCATCACTAATGTCCACAGAAAAAAAAATTAGCTAGTTGGTGAGACAGATACCCATAGAAGAAATGGTTCATCAGCAGAGTAGTCCTATATTGCACAGCATGGAACTACAATAAAACCCTAAACGGTATAGTGCAGGCCATTCCTATATAGAAAAGCTCAAAATAAGGTGTTAATGAGATGTACAAAAGAATAAGAGGCCAAAAGAGTTCAGAGTGTGCAAATGTGCTCACAGATTTGGAAAAGGATCTGACCATTATTTTCTTACGGGTAATTCCATGGTGTATTAAGTGTAGTTAAATTACCTAAGATATAAAACTGGTAGTCATTTTGTTGAGTCTTTTCCTAGAGTCTCATAACACCAGAATTTACCTGTTAGCATGCATTCATGCATGTGCAAAATGTTAACTTTCACTTTTTAAATGAAGAAAATGAACTCAGTAAAAAAGATGAATTACTTAATAAATAGTGCTGGGGAAATTGGGTAGCTCTCTGAAAAAAATCTCTAGTAGAATAAAAGATTATATGAAATCAAAGAACACCATTAAAATACTCAAAGAAAACATAGGAAGGGAGGGCTTGGTGAGTATTTCCTAATACCCAGAAACTGTAAAAGAAAATATGCAATATAAATTCTTGCTTTATTGCCCTGGCTGGTGTGGCTCAGTGGATTGAGTACTGGCCTGCGAACCAAGGGGTTGCTGGTTCAATTCCCAGTTGGGACACATGCCTGGGTTGTGAATCAGGTCCCCACCAGGGGGTGCATGAGAAGCAACCACACATTGATGTTTCTTTGCCTCTCTTCCTCCCTCCCCCTCTGTCTAAAAATAAATAAATAAAATCTTTAAAAAGTATATCTCTTATAAATCTATATTAAGAAAAAAAGACCAAAAAACCAGCAGAAAAATGAACACAGGAAATGAACAAGTAGTTTACAAAAAGAAATGTAGATATTTCTAAAATATGTAAGATGCTTAGTCTCACTATGTCCTGCCATCTTTCATGATTCAGATTGATACATTTTTAAATAATAGTCTATATTGGTGAGGGTGTAAAGAAACAAGCACTTATTGTTGATAGATATATTGGTACAACCACCATGGAAAATAATTTGTGAGTGTTACATTTTTAAATAAATATTCCTTTTGACCTATCAATTCCACATCTTGGAATTTGTCTGATAAGTATACTTCAAGCAAAGCAAAATTACACCTATGTAAGAATACTGCAGCATTTTTGTAATTGCAGAAGTTGGAAATGGTGGAAATGTCCACCATTAAGAGACTGGTTAAATAAATTGCAACAATCTCCAAAATATATCATCAGTGACAAAGGTAAAGGTGCGGGATCGTCCTACCACTTTGGAAAGATAAAAAAATACATACATACTTGTTAATCTAGGCCTGGCATGTTTCTGGAATGCCACACAGAAACTGGTAGCACTGGTCATAACCAGGGAGGAAAATGAGTGAGTAGAGGACATTGATGACAGAGAGACTTCTTTTTTGCTCTGTGGCCCTTTGTGGCTTTGAATTTGGTATTAATGTACACTTATCACTTATTCTAGAAATGCAACCATTTTTAAAAAGAGCATAGCAGGCCCTGTTTGGGTAGCTCAGTTGGTTAGAGCACCCTCCCCATACACCAAGGTTGTAGGTTCAATCCCTAGTTTGGGCACATAAAAGAAGCAACCAATGAATACATAAATAAATGGAACAACAAATTGCTGTTGCACTGTCTCTCTTTCTCATTTTCTTTCTCTTTAAAATTAAAAATAAAAACAGCATAGTGTTCTAAATGTCCAGTAATACGTAACCATATGATAAATACCTATGCAGCTATTAGAAAACATGATTTGAAAGAAAAATATACTTATGATATGTGAAATGAAGAAAGCATGATTTTAAATTGTGTACAGACTTTTGTTAGAATTTTGTTTCATACATGCCAGAAAGAAAGAAAGAAAAGGAAAGGAAAGAAAAAGACAAAGAAAAGAGCTCTACCAGATTGTTAGTAATGGTCATCTTTGATTGATGGGGTTATGTGTATTTTTTTCTTTAAATTTCTCAGAAGTTTCCAAGTTCCCCACATGAGAATGGCATCATTCAGGGGAAACATTAAAATAGCTGTTACTATCATTTATGGGCACCATATGTCAATCTTGCAAAATGTTGGCATCATATTTATTCCCAGTACTGACTGTGAGAAAGACACAGATGGTTATTCTTCATCTAGATTTAAAGTAAACAATAAATTCATTGCACTAAAATGAGCTTAGAAAAACACCTTAGAGCTATTTCAAAAGATATGGGGCGGGAGGCATTTATAGATATGAAAGTTTCTATCTACCCTTCAATTCTCCTCATTCCTCTACCTTAGACAAACAAGCAAACAAAAATACCAAAAAGCAAAACCAAAACAAACAAAAACCTTATCTACCCTGTGGGGGATGGGGGGAAGCCCAGTTTAAACACCCAGGTCTAAATAAGATTGGAAGAAAAAAAGGAAATGAATGAAAATTCAGAAATTTTTCTCTCCATCCCCTCCCTCTAGAACCTCAGCTCGCCATTGAATTCTGAGTTAGTGACACATGGGGATTAAGGTGGGTGCCCATTCTGGGTTGGACAGAGCAAGGGTGATGTTTGTTCCTGCCTGGGGCTCTATCAAATTCTCTAACCTTCTTTCTCCTTTCAGCCCTGAACCTCTTATTTGTTCTCATTGTGCCTCCTCCCTCCTGCATGTATCATGTTCGGCACATGAAACAGTGCTAGACCTAGTAGGGACTCAATGTACGGTGGATGGAATGAAGAAGGAAGGGCAGCGATATATAAATGCATGCATGGATGGCAAGACCTATTATAGAGTGTTCTGTTTATATATATTTTTCAGTGTTCAAAAGTATTAATTAGTTAATCTTGAAAAAGGCTAGATTTCCAAGGATGAAATTTGGGTTTGAAAGTTAGTCATCATCTTTGCAATTCTTACAGCTAAGACATAGACCCCTGGTTTCAACTCTATATATGAACTTGACTTTAGTTTTCAGCAAGACATACTCAAAATCTAGAATAAATTATTATAAATACTGCCACACACAATAGAGTAACTTCCATCATAAGCTGGATGTGTGAGAGTGACCACGATGCTATGGAAACGGAATGTAAAGGACAACTACTTTGTGATGTACGGAATCTTAAAGGCTATGTAGGACACACCATATAGTATCAGTATTTGTGTTCTGTTTATAAAATTTATATTTAGTTTAATCGTAAGAGTGGAGGGAAAATAGACGCATACCATGAAAAGAGTGAACAATGTGTAGACCTGAGTATCTATAACCCTCATATAACTTTCATGTGAAATTCAGAAACCCTTAGGAAATTCCATAGTCTATCAGAGCCTCAGTTTCCTCGTTTGCAATATGAGTAATAATTATATTTACTTCTTTAGGTTGCTCTGAGGATGGTGAATAGGCGTTCAATAAATATATGTTGCCTCAGATACTGAGTTAGAATTTAAAGAAAATCATTCTTCATGAGTAGGAAGTACTTGAGGTAGAAGGTAACTTTAAACTGTGAATTGGAGGAAAGGGTCAAAAAAGTTACTTAGGGTCCAGGGTGACAGCTTAAAACCTAGCAAAAGTGGACATGTAAACTGAGCAGCTTTTCCCTCCCCCCAAATTGTGTTGTTTTCCCAGGTGAGCTGGCACTGGAAGACCTTAACAGAACTGGATCAGCTCTGGATGCTCAAATGTTTACGGTTTAACTGGTACATCAATTTCTCTCCAACTCCCTTTGAGCAGGGAATATGGAAGAAGCACTATATTCAAATGGTGAAAGAACTTCACATTACCAAGCCTAAGGTAAATTTGGAGCAAAGAACAACAAATTTACAAATTTACAAATTTACATCCGCTCTTTAGGGATTCTAGAACTAAGGCTAAATGAACACACTTGAACTTGGAGAAGGGAGTTGGTTCAAAACAAGTATACCATGACTTCCAAAGTCTCCTTTTCAGAGAACTTAACAGCCCTTTTCAAGATATCCATGTCTGTTGAGAGCCCTCATCTGACACTCCCACACCCCTGTTCCGCCCAGGTCAGGACTGTGGAGCTCCTCACTCTGCCCAGCTCCTGGATTTCCGTACCCCTGACTCACACCCCCAACAGTTCTGACACTGAGACTCTGTGGGGAATGGGAAGTGTTTGTTAGGTATGGGTCATCAGGTTCTACTTTACTAATTCAAATTTTCTGTGATTCTTCTAGGTCAGCTGAAGTTTATTTTTGTATCATTTATACAGAAAAGTTTTCCAACAAATTCATAATTAGGGAAGGGCATGAGGGGCATATTAAAGTTCTTTTTAAGCTATAGGCTACTACCCTGGCTGATGTGGCTCAGTGCATTGAGTGCCAGCCTGCAAACCAAAGGGTCACTGGTTCAATTCCCAGTCTGGGGCATATGGCTGGGTCTCCGGCCAGGTCCCCAGCTGGGGGCGTGTGAGAGGCAATCACACATTGATGTTTCTTTCCCTCTTTTTCTCCCTCCTTCCCCTCTCTAAAAATAAATAAATAAAATCTTTTTTTAAAAAAGCTAGAAATTACTAATGGCAGTTACATATAATCATAAAAAGTAAATAATACAAGAATATTTTTTCTGGTGGCTTTCTATACATTATAACCAATGTTTATACTTATAGTTAATTAGGTAGCTTATGGGAAATTGTTACGAGCCTTTTATTTATGGCATGGTCTGTACACATGCAGAGTTGTGCATCATTTTGTACAATAAATGAGTTCCTGAAAAATTATGTGTAAATTAAATTTTTAAGTGATTTTTAAAACCACAGGGGTATCATATTCTATGAAAAAGCTGCAGTGAATCCTTTTAAAATTGAAGAATCCTCTTGAAATATGAATAGTCATTTTCTCAACTGCTCAGTTAGGTTAGTTTTATTGTGTTTTCTGAAAGTAGAATCCATCTACATTTAATATAGTAATAAACTATGCATAATTAATATTGTCACAATTGCAATAATAAAACTAGTCTCTCTGATTTCAGCAATTGGTGTGCTCCATGAGGATTTCTTTAAAAACATTTTAAACTGCAGTGATGGAAAAGTGAGTCTCAAAATTACCATAACTATGACATCATTTCTCATAAGACTTTTCTTGAATTTCATTCTCAGTTGTAGGCAGGGAATGGCATTCAGTACCTGAAGCTTGAGCTATTCTGGGGCAGAGGAGAAAAAGGTGATTGATTAGCCCACCTGCAGAATGAAAAGAGGTTCTGAGTATTGTATATAAAATTGATTTCAGTGCTTTGTCTTTAGCAATAACTATTTTCCAAAAAACATTTCTGCATAGCTATATTTAAAATAACAACTAGTTCTAAGGCAAGAAAATGTTCACCTCTTTGCTTAATATTATATTTCTGTAGGGACTACTTTGTTGTATTAGCCTTGAGTTTTTCTGTCAAAGAAATAAACCTAAATTAGAAAGACAAAGGTTAATAAAATTAACTAATAATTCTATTTCTTTTTTTAAAGATTTTATTTATTTATTTTCAGAGAGGGAAGGGAGGGAGAAAGAGAGAGAGAGAGAAATATCAATGTGTGGTTGCTGGGGGTCATGGCCTGCAACCCAGGCATGTACCCTGACTGGGAATCGAACCTGTGACACTTCGGTTCGCAGCCCAAGCCCCATCCACTGAGCTACGCCAGCCAGGGCAATAATTCTATTTCTTAGTCAAAGAGACTCAAGTTACAAAGCCACCGAACTAGCGTTAATAAAGTTGTCTTGACTATGGTTTTAAAGTCAGCTATCTGGATGCACTTGAACGATTGTGTATCAGTAATGCCCTGGAAGAGTGTTCAGTAATGCTGCACCCAGGCAAACACTAGAGTGAAGCATAATTTACCTTCCCTCAGGTACCATCACATCTCCTTCCCTCCAATACTTTGTACTGGCATGAAAACATTTTTAAAGCAGATGGTAGTGGTTAATACTAGTCACCCCAACCTTAAAGTGAGAGGACTGGACTGGAATGATCTTTATAATGGTCTGTAAGGCCACCCTGTCTGCTCCAAGAAACATAATTTCAAAAAGACTTCATCTAGAAAAGAAGAGGAAGTTAAACCCAAAGTAGATAAAAGGAAGAAATAATAAAGAGCTGAGATCAATGAAATTGAAGACAGAAAAACCATAGAGAAAAATCAGTGAAACCAGAGCAGCATCTCTGAAAACATAAATAAAATTGATACATTTCTAGCTAGACTAATCAAGGAAAAAAAAAAAGAACATATAAATTACTAGTAACAAGGGTGAAAGAGGGAGGCATCACTACAGATCCTGCAGATATTAAAAGGATAATGAGAGAGTATTATGAACAATTCCATGTCTCTGCATTCAACAACTTAGATGAAATGGACAATCCTTGGAAACTGCAAATTACTGAAAGTCTCAATAAGAAATTGAAAACATGCCCTGGCTGGAGTAGTTCAGTGGATTAAGCACAGGCTGCGAACCAAAGTGTCGCAGGTTCGATTCCCAATCAGGGTATATGCCTGGGTTGCAGGCCACGACCTCCAGCAACTGCACATTGATGTTTCTCTCTCTCTCTCTACCTCCCTCCCTTCCCTCTCTAAAAATAAATAAATAAAATCTTAAAATAAAAGAAAAAAAGAAATAGAAAACATGAACAAATCTTTATCAATTAAAAACTGAATTCCTGCCCTGGCTGGTGTAGCTCAGTGGATTGAGTGTGGCCTGCGAACCAAAGGGTTGCTGGTTCAACTCCCAGTCAGGGCACATACCTGGGTTGCGGGCCAGGTCCCCAGTGAGGGGAGCTCAAGAGGCAGCCACACATTGATGTTTCTCTCCCTCTCTTTCTCCTTCCCTTTCCTGTCTCTAAAAATAAATAAATAAAATCTTTTAAAAAAATTGAATTCCTAATTTTAAAACTTTTCACAAAACTTCAGACCCTGATAGCTTCATTGGTGAATTTTATCCCACATTTAAGGAAGAGATACCAATTTTATTTTATATAAACTCTTTCAGAAAATAAAGGAAGATAAAGATTTTATAAGAAAACAAACCAAGATCGCAGATCAATATCCCTTATGAACACAGACATAAAAATTCTTTTAAAATATTTGCCAGTTAAATCCAGAAACATATGATAACATGATGATCAAATGGGATGTATCCAAGGAGAGTAAGGTTGGCATGATGTTAAAAAATCAACTGTGCTCATTTTGGCAGCACATGGACTAAACTTGGAATAATACCAAGAAGATTAGCACAGCCTGTGTGCAAGGATGACATGCAAACTTGCGAAGTGTTAAAAAAATCAATCAGTATAAATCACAGAATAAAAAAGATAAGATTTGTGAAAATTTCAATATAGGTAAACAAAAGTACCTAATACAAATTCAGCATATATTCATGATTTTAAAAATTCTCAAAAAGACTTAAGTGAACAAAAATTTTGTTTACTTAACACAGAAGAGACATCACAGTTTTCATTTTTACCTATTACATTAAAGCATCAAGCATTTTGTATTTTTCAGAATTAATGATGTTTATTTATATGTAATTACTATCATTTATCCCTGAAGTTTTCCCCCTGAAATTGATTTTTATTATTATGTATTATTGTTCCCAGTAGTATTTTTAATACTTTTTAAAAATCCTCATGTGAGGATATATTTATTGATTTTAGAGAGAGAGGAAGGGAGAGAGAGAGAGAGAGACATGGATGTGAGAGAGAAACATCATTTGGTTGCCTCCCATATGCGCCCTGACTGGAGATGAAACTAGCAATTGAGGTGTCCTCCTCAGCTGGGGATTATGCCCACAACCTTTTGGTGCTCAGAACAACATTCCAACCGACTGAACCACCTGGCCAAACCACCCAGCCAGGACCCCAGTCGCATTAAACTAGACTTCCACCAGCAAAAGCAGACAGATTTCATGCAGTGTAAGCTCAGAGGAATGAAATGAATATCTATTCTAAATGAGACTGGCACAAACTATCGAATAGTAAACCAATAATGAGCTATCACTTATATAAATATTAACTGTCTTCCTCATCTGCCAGATTACAATCATCCACTAAATGAATCAATATTTTTAAAAACTGTTATGTGCTGCATGCTGTGAGTGCAACGATCCTAACCATGCTTTCAAGTGTAGCGGCCTAGGACACAGACAAGTGACTAAGTACTAAGTGCTCTGCTGTAATAGAAATATACACAAAGCGCCGTTGAAACAAGGATAAGAAACTAACTGATTCTGCTTGGAGGGCCTGGGGAATTTCTTAATTTTCACAAGCAATTCAAGCAAACCAATTCACCAAGCAAAGCTTCCCTAATCTCTTAAAGAACAGAAAGTAAGCTTTTAATGACTTCTCAACATACCAATACCATTTCCCTTAGGCTACAACCACATAAAAACCTTATGAATTTCACACACACAAAAATAGACTTTTGATTTTGGAAATTAAAGCAAAAGTATTTGGGGTGAGCGGATGAGGTTTTGATAATTGACACAATCTATAGACTACCCCTATATAACTTGAAATTGTCTATATGAGTTATAGGTAATTAGGACTGGAGTACTTTTTTTGAATGTATACATTTGTATGGATAAATTATTTGCAATTGTGGAAAAACTGTAAATGATGCAGTAGAGGAGGTAGCAGCAGAGGATAAAGAGGTTTGGTGCATGGATTTGAAGTAAGGCAGTCCTGGGTTCAAATTCTGACTCTGTGTCTCGTAGTTATGTAGCATTAAGCCAATTAATTGGTTTATCCTATGTTCAGTTTCCTCTTCTTTATTTTTATTATTTTTTCATCCTCATCTGAGGATATATTTATTGATTTTGGAAAGAAAGGAGGGGGTGGGGAGAGAGTGAAAGAAACATCAATCAGTTGCCTCCTGCAAGCACCCTGACTGGGGATTGAACACACAACCTTTTGCTATATGGAATGATGATCCAACCAACCCAGCAACCCAGCAACCCAGCAAGGGTCAGTTTCCTCTTCTTTAAAATGGGAGCAGTAATTACCTCTCAAGTTACTGTGAAGGTTAAATACAATAATGCATGAAAGCTTCCCGAGACAGTGGCTGGCACATACACAGCAAGTTCTCCAGGGTTGATAGCTGCTCTAATCATGATCACCATTACCAGTGCCATAGCAGTGATGATGATGATAGTCTTTGTTTTGTTGTTGTTGCTATTACAGTGTGTTAAGAACAGAAATAATTCGTTTTCTTCCTCTAGACACCTCCAAAAGATGGGTTTGTGATTGCCGATGTTCAGCCAGTTACAGGCAGTTCTCCAGAGGGAAAGCAGTCTCCTTCATCAACCTTCCGACCTTCTTCTTCTTTAAGAAAGAAGAATCACCCAGGGGAGAAAGAACTCCCACCCTGGCGATCCTCTGACAAGCATCCTACTGATATCATTCGCTTCAATTACCTGGACAATTGTGACCCTATTGAGCAGATTTGGCGAGGGTGAGAAGCTCTGTGCCTTTCTTCATTTGTTTGCTTTTAGAAAAATTTTGCTGGCACTTCAACATATGAAGCAATGAAAGTAGAACTTACTTTCTAAATGCAGGTGCTTTTCCATACAGAGAATTAAAAAGTAATTGAAAACTAAAGGAACTGTTTGTTATTGGTAAATTAGCCCTGCTCATTAGGATTTGTTTGTATTTTATAGCTGTAATGATTTAACATTACAGCTTATTTTAATATTAAAAATGTTTTAATGATTAGAGAAAGAGGAAGGGGGAAGAGACAGAGAAAGAGAGACATCAATTTGTTGTTCCACTTATTTTTGCATTCATTGGTTGACTGCTGTATATGCCCTGACCAGGGATCGAACCTGCAACCTTGGTGTATTGGGGACGACACTCTAACCAACTGAGCTACCTGGCCAGAGCTTTTAAAAGTATTTTAACACTTCAAATTTTAATCCAGCACCATAGGGTTTATTCTAGTCTTTTCCTTTTTCCACATTTGTGCCTCCCTGCTCTGACTGAGAAACCCAGCTCTCATTAATTTATTGTTTACTATGTATAGATTATATATCATATATATTATACGTCATACAGTTCACCATCAAACAACTCCAGCTATAGGTGCACCAACCCCCATGCAGTTCAAATCCATATACTGTATAAGCTTTGACTCCTCAAAAAATTAACTGGCCCTTCATATCCATGGATTCAACCAACTATGGATTGAAAACAGTGTTTTCCACCTGTGGTTGGTAATGTGAAAATACTGTTCTCAGTGTGGGGGTGGCTGAATCCATGAGTGGGAAACCTGTGGATACGAAGGGCTGACTGTATTTACTGAAAACTAATCCATGCAGAAGTGGACCGGTGCAGTTCAAACCCATGTTGTTCAAGAGTCAACTGTATATGCATGTATAATTTTGATATGTGTTATATGTACGCATAAAATTTTATATAAAAATTCTATGATAGATCACATAATATATCAATACACAGGGTATATATTTATTTCAAAATTCTGAAAGTAATATATCATACCATTATTAAAACAAATTTACAAACTAGAATTCCATATTTGCTCATGGTTCTCTCTGCCTTCAGTCTGAGCCTATACACTCAGAATGCCGCATTCAGAAGTTACGTGGGTAGGTTAACACCTCCTTCACTGTGGGTAGGTTACATGGTTCTAAAGTTAAAACCATATGGAAGGGTACAAAAAGTGTTTGAAATGTATACTCAGAGAAATACCACCCCCAGGAACAGCGGCTTTTCCACGCTATTCCCGCCCTGCTATTTTTCCACCCCATTCCCACGAGCACATCTCACTAGTTTCTGGTTTCTCCTTCCAGGGTTGCTTTTTACATAGTTACAAGATATCTCACTTTCAACTCTCTGATGGGCAAAACTTGAAAGCTTGATGATATGTTTTGTTAGGGAGGCTGTGAGCAAATGCTGAGAGAAGTTACTCATTGCTGGTGAGAATATAAATTGGCACAGAACTTATGAAGGGAAATTTGACAATATCCAGTACAAATATATATGCGTTTACATTTTTACTCAGCAACCCTACATCTAGAAATCAATGTTGGGAATACCAAAAGTACATTTGCAGAAGAATATTTATTGCAGCATTGTTTATGATTCTAATGTGTTGGAAATAATGTAAGTGCTCATACATAGGTAGGAGAGTGTTTGCTGGATAAATTATGTATGGTCCATTCACACAGTGGAGCACTAGGCAACTGTAAAAGTGAATGAGGAAGATCTCCATGAACAGATAAGGAGTGATTTTCAGGGTACCTTATTAAATGAGAAAAGCAAATTTGGGGAGTATCTGTAATAATGCCACCCATGGTATAGAAAGAAAAGAAAGTAAGAAAGTAGAGATCTGTATCTATGTATAAATATGGGCCTGTTCATTTGTTAAAACAAGCTTGCACATACAACAGATAAACAAGAAATGAAGGAAACAAATTCTGAAATTCTTGAGAATGTTTTAATACATCTGCCACATTTTTAGATTATATTCCAACAGATTAACATCAAAGCAGCATAAGGGGACGGTGTACTGGCTCTGGAGCCCAACTGATTGGGTTCAAATCCAGGCTCCCACACTTCTAGCTTGTGACCCCAGGGACTCCCTTAACCTCTGTGCCTCAGTTTCCACATCTGTAAAGTGGCAATAATAATAATACCTAGGTCATCGGCTTCATTCACCAAAATAGGCCAGATTCTTGATGCTGTCGGTGTCATGGGGGAAAAGAAGGTAGGAAAAGTATTCTAGAACATAAGAGACACAACCAAATTCAGTTTGAATCTAGATAGGATTCTGGTTCAAAAAAAGGAAGACTTTAATACCCATTCTTAGGACAATTTGATATAGACTGGGTAGTAAATGATTTTAAATAATTATTGTTCATTTTCTAAGGTATGATGATACTAGTGTGCAGGAGATGAGTGTTGAAGTATTTAGGGGTAAAGCGTCTGCAATTTACTTTCTTATGGTGTGACACACACATATATATATAGTATTGTATGTATGTGTGTACATATATGTATCTATGCATATAGAGAGTTAAAGCAAAAGTAGCAAAATATTATCAATATTTGATAATATTGAATGTAGTTGGAGAATATATGGATTAGTCACTGCACTGTTCTTTCAACTATTCTGTGTGTTTGAAGCTCTACATTTATCCTGTAGAGCTTCTCACTTTCTGGGGAAATTTTTTTAAATTAAGCAACAATAAATATCCAGCAAAGCTGATCTTTTCAAATAAAGCTTTATACTGGAAGTTCGAGTACGTACAAAAGCAGAGAGAATAGAAGACCTTGTCACCATCATCAGCATGAACAGGTTTCAGCCCGTGACCAGCCTGGTTCCGCTTACTCCTCGCCCATTCTGCTCTTCTCCCAGGTTATTTTTGAGGCCAATCCAAGTGTCATATTTTTTCATTTATATATATTTCAGTGCATGTCCTTAAAAATAGACTCTGTCTAAAAATCATAGCTTGATACCATATCACATCTAAATCAATGAGTGATTTCTTAATAGAATCAATCAACTATCAAGTCAGTTATCTGGTTTCCTTGAAGTCTTATAAGTTTTTGATATTTTCAAACAGTTGGTTTGTTTAGTCAGGTTCAAAATAAGGTCTACAAATTGCATGTGGTCCATGTGCCATTTAAATCTTTTTTTTTAATCCATAGATTTCCCTCCCTCCCTCCCTTCCTTCCTTCCTTCCATTCGTTCTCTTGTAACTTGTTCGTGATAGAAATCAGATCATTTATCCTGTAAAGCTTCTAACTATCTGAACGTTGCTAACTGTGCTCCCAATGTCACATGTTCCTCTATCTCCAGTGTTTGGCCACACTGGTGGTAAGACCTAGAGGCTTGAGTACATGCATAATGGTCATGTATTCCCATCACGAGACACACAATGTCTCGTCTCTCTTTTTTTGTGATATTAGTGGCCATTGACGATCATTGCCTAGATCCATTATTTTAAGTGAATTTTTTCTGGAAAGGGCCAGACAGCAAATGTGTTAGGCTTTATAGGACATATGTCACAACTGTTCGACTCTCCCACTGAAGCCTGAAAATAGCCATAGACAATATGCAAAAAATAAACATGACTATGTTCCAATAAAACTTTATTTACAAAAATAAGCATCAGGCTGCAGTTGACCTTTAGGCTATGGTTTGTTCATCCCTACTTTATCCTAATGTATATGATAATTTTAGAAAGCAAATACCAATATTAATACAAAGAGTAGGATTCATGAAAACAATTTAAGATTCCTTTGCCTCTGTTTTTTCCTTAGGATATATTCTACTAAGAATATTCAGACAAATTACTGTGTTAAAGTCCTATGAAGTAATTCTTCCGTGTGTGCTAATGCCACCAACTCAATAGACAAGATCATTTGTTTCATTTTGGTTTAGGTTTCAAGAATTCTCAGCCTTCCCTTAACTTTATAATTTTGAGAAAAAGCGAGACAGTTCCACAGTCAAGTAAACAAAACAAAACACATGTGGAGAAGTCTAGCTTCTGTCCCTGCGCTTCCATACCATGGCCTGTGCCTTGTGGGGTCACACGGGAATCCTGTTTTTCAGAATGTTATGGTGTGATCCTTCCATTTGAAAAAACAAACAAATACACACATACACACCCTTTTTAAAATAAATAGTACATATAATATGTACTAGTCTATCCACGTTTCTTTTCTTCATGTAACAATACATCCTGGAAATCATTCCGCAATTGTATATAGAAACATTCTGCCTCTCTTTTTACATCTTATAATGCTCCACTGTGTGGATGTGCCAGAGTTTATTCAACCAGTTCGCTATTGATAAACATTTAGCTTGTTTCCAGTTGAGTAAAGAAAATCTTTTAAATCATAGGAGCAACAAAACCGAATGGACAAAGTTTTAAAATGAGTATTTGTAATTTTTCCAATGCTTTCCAACTTACAGAAGGAAGAAAAGACATGAAAGGACCCCAGATTCCAGCCGGCAGACACATGATAAGAAGAATAAATTGCAGGACAGATCTAAGCTGAGAAAAGCACAGTCGCTGGTGAGTATTGCTTTCGAAAGATTCCCCACGATAATGTTAATGAAAACCGCTGGGTGTCTAATCCTGTTCGTGAAACTGAATTTGTTGTTTTAAATCAGAATCATTAAGTGGTGATTTAAATCCAGGCCTCAGAAACTGACAAGCTGTGTAACCTTGAAGGCAGCCTTTATTTAATCTCTCTGAGCCCTGTTCCCTGTTCTATTTTTTAAAAAAATGACTAGATGAGCTGATGTGTATGAATCCACTTTGAGAACTGTGCAATATAAAGGGAGCATTATTGTCATTAGGTTCTTTCTTCTGCTATGAGTCCTTTGTGAGGTTCGGTGGGGAGAGTTCTAGAAATTTCTCTACAGAAAATTCCTTACCTATAGAGTGAAGGTTCCACTGACCTAAGAAAAAGGGATACTTTCCATAGCTTTCCAGCTACCAGGGGAGTATGATTATAAAAGTGCATTTCAAGTAACTTCAGAAAAAGTGAATTCAGAATTTTTCTTTCCCTAACGAAAAAAAAACAGCTAATTGACTCCCTAATAAAGTCAGTAATTGTGTCAAGGAAGCATTATCATCTCATAGTGGTTTTCCAGACTGTGGTTCTGTACCCCCCATGGATCCCTCTTAGCATATATGAGTCTTTGGTGCAAAGTAGGAGGGAATAAAGGTGGAATAAAAAAATCATATTATTATTAAAGATTTAGGAAAAAAACTGAGGATACATACTCAAGAAAAATTAATATAAAATAGATATCCATTGGGAGAAGAAAAAGTATGTACTGATGAATAAATCACTTTGATACCTCTGCTTTAAAGCCCTATTACTTTCTGTTTAAATTTATTTTCAAGTGTTATCATGTTAAAAAAAAGGAGAGAGAGAGAGAAATGAGCTTTTCAAATAGGGCAGTTTGTATTCCGAGGGACCAATTTTGTGGGACTGGATGAGGCTTATCACAGGCAGATGCACCAATGCCCAAGGGAATGGGGAAGCTTAAAGCAGAGCAGTAAAATTGTCAGTGAAAACCATTAATTGAGAAAAATAACTTTATGAGGCTTACCACACAGGCCATTCAGGCATGCTTCTGTCTGGTCTCCCCGCCCCTCCTCAGCCAGCAGTGGAAGAGAAATCCAGGGAGATCAGGGAATTGAAGGGCGATAAAAGTTGATGGTGTTGCATGCTTACAAATGAGCAGCACAGACAAACATTTCTCTAGCTTAAAAAACAAAACAATCACAACAATGAAAATCAAAGGCTAAACAGAAGCCTCCCCCTGGGCTTCTGGCATTAACCATCTGTCACGTACTAGCAGGGCTTGTTTAAGCTAAAATATTTGTTATAAATTAAAATTTTTTAAAGTTGCTGCTAATTAAAGCTGAAAGGGAAACCAGGGCAAATTAAACAATGATAAAGAACAATGAAGCTATTAATAAGTGAAGTGCGTGACTATATTGATCTACTCGTATTGTTAGATAAATATACTAATTACGATCACTGTTTATGCTTAGTAGTTTTGCTAAGAAGCATAAGGCATAATTAAACCTTCCAAAAGTGAACAAGGATCTCTGACTGGGTGGGGGCCACAGGCTGAGTGTGGCTAAGGCCCCCTCTCCAGGGGGTGGCAGTTTGCCCTCACTCTAGGCGACTACCTCCTAGGAAGTACGCAACCACCTAGGTGATGCAAAGTGATTGAGAAAATGAAAAAACGCTGGATGTGGGGCCTGAGAGAAGAGGAAATGGGTGTGGAGGAAATGTAGTAAGGGAACCTAAGGAGAGTCGGGAGAAAATAAAACTCTGACAGCTGCAGCTGTAGAGTTTGGTAGATGTAGCTGAGGTGCAGTTGCAGTGGGAAAAATCACATGTTCATCTGTTAGAAAGTTCTCGTATCATTCAGACAGGTTTATCTAGGAAGATTTCAGTGGGATCTATTAAAAAAGGAAGCAGGCAAGGACGAGAGGGACAAACCCCCAAAGCCTGCCCGAGAGGGTCCTGAGATCTGAGCACGTGAGTGTTCCTTGCTCCTTGAAAACAGGAAATGGAGCATGTGATACTTGGAGAAGGTGGAGATTTGTGAATGGAAGGACTGGAAGAGGGGAAAAAAGCACAAGTGTGTAAAAGCACCAAGAAGATTCCTTAGGCCTTGTCTTCAGGGCTTTTAGGCCACTGGGACCATCTTCACTTTTTGTGGGCCATGACTTAGAGCCTTCCACTGTGAGTGTTCTCTCTAAGGGAGAAACTTTCTTAGGGAAACAGTTTCAAATCTACGTGTACTGTTGCGAGCTTACATGATGTTGCCTATTATCTAATTGGTTTGAGTTTGCAGAGCCCGCCCCTGAAAAGGGTACCTGATTTCCTCAATTCTTGTGCTGCTCTGTTACAGCTGCTCCATTGAACCACCATTGATGTCTCCATCACTGATGGAAGATGGGAAAAGAGCCTAGCTCTTCTCACTAATGCCTTACAATTTTGAGCATTGTTTATGGAAATTCTGTAAATGTCAAGAAATGCCCAACTATCAGTTATTATAAAATTCCACACAGAACAAAGTGATTTAAAAATATAAACATCACAGTAGAACTAGGTACCATTTTAATTAAACTCCAGAGATTTTCCCATCTCATATAAAGGTGTGAAACATAAAACATTTTTTAATCATAACAGCTGGCCCCACAATTCCTCTTCAGGAAGGGTGAGGAGGGAGCTGTCTCCTTGGGGGAAAGCCATTTATGAGCTGGTAGAGAAAGATGACACCTTGCGGGCTTGGACGCTATGGGGCACCTCCACCAGCGGAGGGGAAACCTGCTCTGCTGGAGCTTAGGAACGTGTTGTTTCTGCTCCAGCACGGGAAGAGGAGGGGGAGTGGGGGACCAGGGGAGGAAAGAGGAGAGAGAAGCAGGTCTGAGGGCAAGAAGCTGAGATGAGGTAGGGGAGAGACGGGAAAGTGTTAGATAGTAATACCTCCCATTCTGATCAAATGCATTTGCTATTGCTGGGAAGTAAACCCTGCCTTCCGTTCCTACAGTAAATTCTATTCAATTTACACACGGACGCAAGATCTCTCAAGTCTAATAGGCCAGGAAGACAAAAGCCCCTTGGGACAATTCACAAAAACCCAGGGGGTGGGCTCCCCGGCCCTGGAATTGGACTCAAAGGACCCCAGCTGACATCTTGTTTCACGTTCTTTTTTTGCTTTTTCCTACCAAGTTAAGTATAAAAACAAATACCTTTTGTCTCTCACTGAACTTTTGCTTGGAGGTTAGCTGACCTCACTTCTAGGTTCTGATTTGGCCACGGATTTCAAAAAGCTTGCTGTTTCAGGGCATTCATTGTCCTACAGGTAACAAAAGCCTTTAATTGACTGCTTACTCTAATTGCTCTAGATAAGACCTTATCTTTTCCTGTGCTCTGCTAATTCCAGCCTCTGCAGTTACCTTCTTCACCTCTTTCCAGAATCACTTGATTGTGATGAGTTAAAATGCTTCTTTAAGCTTTCTAATTTTTAACCCCTCTCTGGGTCAAAGGGGGAGGGAACACGAACATACCCAAAAGGCATTCCTGGTTCCTGTCATGGAAAGAATGCTGCTTTAAGAATCAGAAAACTCAGGTTTCTAGCCTCAGCTCTACCATTAGCTTCGTGCTCACACAGCCTCTCGGAGTTTTCGTCTTTCCATAAATAAAATGAGAGTTTGGATTCCAGCCTCTTTCAGGCTAGTGCCTGGTCTGCAGCCCCTGCAGCTTCCTCCCATGTTCGCTCACCTCTCTCCTGCCACCGGAGGGACAAGCTCTTATTAAGGTGACTTGACACAGAATAACCAGAAGGACCCATCACTTTGTGAATCCTACTTAGGAAGCATAAAAACAGGTTTCTGTCTCCCATCTTTTTTTTTTTTTGAACGTTAGAAAATACAATGAATTGAAACGGAAGAATTGATGAAACGAAGCTGTGTAGCGGTTTTCTTGTGGGCAGTCTTTGATAGACTTTCAGTTCCCGTGACCTCCCCGGAGTTTGTTTTATCATGTTCATGTGGTTTGGATGTGCAGAAGTAAAACTATCCATAGGAGAGATCTTTAATTATTCAGTTCCATCAGTGGCATTCTTGAGAGTTCCTTTGGGAAGGAAGAATAAGAAAGAATGTGGGCTTTGCGGTCAGAGGGAACCTGAGTTCTTGTACTAAACTGTGCTGCTTTGGATAAGTTACTTAACCTCTCTGAGCCTCTGTTTCTTCATCTGTTAAATGGAAATAATGATTGTTGTCAGAACTAACTGGCAGATATATTAAGCATAATTTATGTTTGTGTTCTCCTGCATTTGATACCATCTCATTTTTCACTTTGCTGACCAAAAGCAACAGGTCTGGGGATTAAACAGTCCACTAGGTTCATTGCCTGATACCACAATTTTGGTAGCTCAGTGAGTTTGGCCACCGAGTTACTAACCTTGCAGAGACTCTGTTTCTGGCCTGTGAAATGGAATTAGTAACAACAGCAACCTCACAGCGTTGGGAGGTGGAGGTAAAACATTTGGCTCAGCGCCTAGCTCAAAGTAAGCGATCAGCAAATAGTAGCTAGCAACGGCGATGGCGGTGGCAGCAACCGTCAGGATGACACCAAATCAATGGGCCAAGAAGGCAAGGAAAGACAAGAGCCAGCTGACGGTGAGCAGGAGCTGGGAGGGGCCAGCCAGGGGCCAGAAGGAGGCTCCAACCAGCGGAATAAGCCTCTCTTTCTCCTCTTTGCCTTCACTTCTCCCCAGTTTTCTTTATCTTTTCCCTTTGTCTTTGCCCTCTCTCGCACTTCCCACTATGTAAAATATGGTTGCATCCAGAGCTGTGCGAAATGGGAATCAGGTTCTTTTCTCTCCCCGCCTGGTGTCTGCTCCATCTCGTGCCTATCTGTGTACACGGTCATGCATTTGCCCCTCACCTGGAGTGCACAGGGCAGGTGTGTGCAGGACTCGGTGCCCTGAATTCTGGGTCTTGTGCTTTCCACTGCTTACTTGTTGCTTCTTAATGTCTGAGACCTCAGAGAAGAAAAAGCCTCATTGCAAGAATCCTGGGGGCAAAGTAAGCACTCAGGGGGGACCCCACTTAGAGCCCCTGCATTTCTCCTTTGTCCGTAAAAGCATAGCTCACTTGTTCTGTCTTGTTGCCTCTTCTTTTATCAAGTTATGACAATAAATCACCCTGGTGTTTCCAACAGGAGTGATCATGCCTGCTTCTCTCTCACTGAAGAGTGAGACTGGGGCCAAATGGCTACTTGTTTTTATTTAAGAGTTAAACAGTGACCGTTTGACCAAAATTGCCTTTTTTTCAGGTTCTATTAGAAGAGAAGAACCGTGGTTATGAGTTATATAATAGTATTAGTTATATATATTATTTATGACATTGTAGTTGCTGTTACTACTACAGCTCCAAATATATAAATATATGTATGTAGGATATGTATTTGTGTGTATAACATTTAGTATCGTAATATAATATTTCAGCACAAACTATAGTAGAAACCAATTTTCTGAGACATGGATGTTTTGAACTATGCGCTTACAGTCATTACTGACAAACAACCATTGAACTTTACGGCCTACGAATACTTTGCAACACACCCCTCCCTTCTTTCACCTACTTGGGAAACTAAAGGCCACCCTCACATAGTCTTGGGTTTAAATTTCAAAACTCTGCCTAGAGTTGCTTAGCCTTCCTCTGCAGCCGCAGCGGACAGTTTTACCCAAGGTGCCTTAAAACAGAAACCAAGAACAGGGGCCTGTGGCTTCTTTAAAACCGTGTTGATTATTTCTCCCTAACACCTTTCCCCTGCTTCTCACAGGAGCAGAGAGGACTAGGAAGAAAAGGGAGCACCCCCTCCGTAGTGTTGACCTAAGCAGGGGCCCCCTAGAAGGGTGACCAGGCAGGTCTGTGCGGCCTTCAGGGCTCCCAAGCAGACGGCAGGATGGTGGGGGTCCTCCTTCCAGAATTTCCCGGTGGGAAAGTCCGTGAAGCAGCTCTACGCTGGGGGTGACGCCTCCACTCAGCTGAAGCCAGGATGCATAGTCAGCCCTCTTAGACTCTCCTCTCAGAAGGAAAGCCCTCGCGGTGGACCCTCCCCAGCCATCTTCCCTGTCCTTGGGGAGCCTGTACCCCAACCAGTGGCTCTTAGGTATTACTCAGCCCCCCACCTATGCTTACACAAGTTACGGCAGTGAGTCAGAGCTGTGTGTCTAGGAGTAAAGCAAACAAACAAACAAACAAACAAACCTTCTGATGTTACGATTTACAAACACAGTAATTCCTATTTATATGTAGTTTTACCACATCATTCCTGAGCTGGGAGTCATAACAAAGTGTTGCAGGTAGGTTTATTTTAAAGGGGGATGTGGGTGGGGTCTCCTACAAAGTGAAGATTGTCCCCCTCCGTACCTTTCTGTACCATGTCACAGGCTTGGGAAGATTGAATGATGGAATGTGTGCCTGACTCTCAGCCACACGCGCAGCGGTCAGATATTTGCAGTTACTGTTGGTGCTGGTGGGGGCGGGGGTGCTGTTTCCAGAAGTGTGACGGGCACGTTGCAGGGCTCTCGTTGTCGATGCTGCTTTCATCCGTCTTTTCCTACCCACGTACTCCTTTACCACATCTTTTTGTGTCAATGATCATTTGCAGATTTCTGCAAATAACGCAAATGGAAAACAACAGAAAATCCAACCAGGGAGAGACAAGACACGGGTGACTATAGAAGCTGGCACATACAAGTTGTGCCCTGTTGACAGCCCGTCTTGGGCCTTAGCCTCCTCTTTCCTGGGCCGGTCAGCCCCCGTAGCCTCTCGCCAGCCTCACTCACTTCCTTCTGCCCAATCAAATGGCATCCAGCCTGAAGACAGGGGTTTTCTGTCTTGTTTCAAAGTCCACCTGCATGGTGGTTTCAGCCATTTCTCTGAAATGGTGAAGCATATTACTTTGTGTGTTTGTTCATTTATTCAACAAGTAGTTTACAGGCACTGAACTAGGAGCTAGGGGTACACCTATAACAAGATACATTCTCTGCCCCCCAAATACTCCTCAGTGGGGGGTGGGAGAGAAGTTCCAGTCAAGCAAGGGGTAACTCCTAGGTATCAGGGTTAAACGATCGTATTAATGTTCCTGCCACCAGTCCCGAGACTACAAACACAACAGGACATGCTAGGCATGACCTGGCACTTACGCAATCAAAAGAGAGTTGAACATATTGGCCAAGACCTCAGGAGAGAGAACAGGCAAGAGATGTCTATCTAGCAATTGCAGATTACGGCCCTGGTTGGCCAGGAAACGAACCTGGAGAATTCCTGATGGATAAAGCATGGCCTTACATTTCTCTTCTTCTGCGTCCTTTCATTTAAAGACGTGATAACAACATGCAGAGATAGCATTGGGTAACTGTTTCTAGAAGAATAACAGCAAGTTCAACGGATGGGAGAAGTCACCTGATTCCATCACCTGATCCCATCCGTCTTCATGGGGACAGGCTGAAGAAAGGAACACTCTGTAGGGATGCTCCAGTGCCTGGGTTCTTGGTAGACAGTGTGGCTGTGGCTGCCGTTAGCCCATCAGAAAACAGGCGAGAGCAGATAGGCCTGCACCTATGTGAAGATTATTCGTATCAGCGTTGTTTTTGAGCAAAAGAGTGGGAACAGCTCAAATACTTATATGGTTCATCCATAAATGAGCTACAGCACAACCTTTGGAAGACTGAGGAAGTTCTTTAAGCACTGACTTGTATCACCTCAGAATTTACGTGGATTTTAGAGGCTCTGGGCCAGGCACTAGGAGCTCCTACCCAGCCTCGGAAGAAGAAGTTTCCTGTTATTTCTAGATGGTCAGATGCATCTAGATCAAGATCCAGGACTGTCAGATTTGTATGCTTTTATATAACTTCCTCATGGTTTCTCCTTAAATCTTGTCTGTTCTCTTGTAATGGTGATCATTAAAGTCTTGCAATGAAGAGGGTCTGTGAACTTTCCTTCAGGGGCAGCAAGGCCGTGTGGAAGCAAGGAGACCGGCTTCTCAGAGCCAGTCTTGAAGGGAAGAGAAACGGTGCAACCCGGATAGGAGGAGATGATGCGTGAGACAATGGGAGGCTGGGGAGGCCCCAGGGGCCTGCAGCCGAGGAAGGGCCGGCATGAGAGGAGCCTGCCTGGGCCTGTGAACCTCCTGGGGGGACTCGGGAGAAAGAGGTCCTGAAATGCAGTGATACATCAGTTTTGCACCATGATAGGATTAAATTTGAAATTGTTACAGGGAAGGTGTGACAAGCTCATTCTTGAATCAGAGACCTAGGTTTTTTTCTTCACTCAACAGGTATTCTCTTATTTTCATTACTACTAAAATAGCACGAAGGAGCACTTCCATTTATTGTCTTACCTTATGCTAATCTTAGGACAGCGCTGAAAACCAGGGAAGATATGGCGTATTTCTCCCATTTCTTCCTTCCTTCCTCTTCAAGTCTAACACGTTGCTGTGTTTAAGCCAGTTTGACCTACTCTTTCCCAGAAAAACCAGTAAACATGCATGGATCCCCCTGCTAGAGGCAGACAGTCATAGTTTCAACGAGGTCGAGGTCGAAGGTTGGAGCTTTGCTCCTAGGGAGCAAATATGTCACGTTTTCATCAGAAGACAAATAACTACATTCGGAAACAAATACTAAATGCCAAGAGGAAAAATATGTTCAGTGCTAAGTGAGAGGCCTTGACAGGAATCCAGCCTGGGCAGAAAGCCCTGAGGGTCAAGACACCCAAATTTCTTGGAGAAGGTGGGGCTCGAAGGGCAAGTTGTATTTGTATTTAGAGGAGGAGTAAAGAGAGCACGGGAGGTAAGACCAGCCTGTGGGGTGCATCTTTGTGGATTTAGAGGGACCCAGTCCCCTGGGGAAGAGGACAGGAGACAGCAGTCACTGGCTGATGCAATTTCTGATTCTTCCCAGATTCGTAGAAACCCTGTGTGTTGCAGACACATCTATCAGAGCGTTAGAGGGATGTAACGAATAATCTGATTACCCAGACTTGCCAGTGGAACTTGGGGCAATAGGAGGGGGATCGTGTTCAAGGCAGGCCATAGTGTCTGTGTGCTCAGGCTCCTTAGGTCTCTGCATGCAGCAAAAATAAGGGTGAATTTACAAGTTCCATGCAAGCTCAGCTCGTATTATTTCTCTCCATTCTTTCCTCTTCCCTTTCCTGCTCACGGCCAGATGTCGAGGAGAAACCCTTTCTCACTGTGAGTTTTGGTTGGAAGGTCACCCTGTGAGATTTGCCTTTTTGGAGAGAATGTGTGCATGCACAGACTAGTGGGGCGTAAATACGGACCCTGTACGGCTCCTCACCTGGTCCAGGAATCACAAGTCTCCAGACCCAGCCCTAACACCTTTCCCTTCCGCTAACTTGGGCTGCTGCTTAACCTGCCTGCTCTTCCGTCTGGATGGCCTGTAAGATGGAGATGTTAATACCTCCCTCCCTGCCTCACAGAATTTCCCGGGGTTTCCAGTGAAATTATGGCTGTGAAGGCACTCTGGAGATGAAAGGAGTTATTATTAGTAGCTCAAGGTGAAGACTGCACGGGATAAGGGGCGGTGCAACTGGCAAGCCTCAGTAAATCCCACCCAGGCCTGTGCTTTTATACAATTGTTTTACCTCATTAAAATATGTTTAATTATATAGCTTCCTCTTGAAGTGTTAATGACTCTCACTCTGCTGATCTCTTCTTCCTCCCTAGCTATCCCTAAATGCAGAACCCAGCTCCCCTCTGCAAGTTCGAGCCCGTCGGGCCTGGCCTCCCCACCAGGGGGTGGGGCTCCCCGCCAAAGAGGCGGCCGCAGTGCCAGCTCTCGCGCAGCTTCTTCAGAGACACTCTGGCCTTCGGTCGCTACCCATCCAGGCTCCGGAACTGAAGCTGATTTAAAGATGTGAAAAGATCTGTATAGGAATGACAAGAGGCTCCACACCTTGGAGCGTCGGATGTTATGTGGCTCCTCTGTTAGAAACTGTCGGTTTAGGTACCTTATTGTGAAAGTGAGTTCTACAGTGTTTAGCAAAAGGTATTCACGGCATAAATAAATGTTGACGTATTTACAGACTTGGATGGAAAGGTGGTGGTGGCTCCCACGGGGTTGATAAAGGGCCGTGCGATAGCCCCATTGACGGCATTGGGCGTGTGAGGCAGGGTCCCCCGTGGATACACTCAGCACACTTCCGAGGCTGCTTGAGCAGTTTACTGATGGGGCTGTTGCCATGGTGTCTCAACTTGCTAGGCCTTCCAAAACAAAGTACCGCTGCCTTCGTCCATTCCGGCTGCTGTAACAAAACGCCGTGGGTGGGGTTCGGGCGCTTATAAACAACAGACGTTTACGTCCTAAACAGTCTGGAAGTCCGACAGCAATGTGTCATCAGGGCTGACCTCTTGTGAGGCCTCTCTCCTTGGCTTGCAGACGGCTGTCTTCTTGCTGTGTCCTCACGCGTGTCCTCTCTGCGTCCCAATCCCCCCTTACCACAGGGACGCAAGTCAGGCTGGGGGAGGGCCCACCCCCATGGCCTCAGTCAGCCTTCCTCAGCTCTCTGAGGACCCTGTCTCCAAGGACAGTCACATGCTGAAATCCTAGGGTTAGGGCTTCAGCATAGAAACTGCGTGGGGGCAGGGAGGGAGGGGCACAGTTCAGCCCAAAGCACACACCGGGCAGGACTGAGAGAACCAAGGTGAGGTGGCAAAGCACCCAGGAAGTAGCAACTGCAGCATCTTTTGTCATCCTTTGGTCTGAAGGGGCAAAAGGGAAAGGACCTGTGGTTCCTGGAACCCAGTGAGAGCTGTGGCCCAGAAGAGAGGTGAACCAGCAGGATGTATGTCCCTCTGGGGGGAGCCCAGCCCAGGGGGAGGGGAGAGGGGGTGCACTCAACGTCTCTCTCCCCCTAACCTTTAACACTCCAATAGCACTTCCCTTTGGTCAAATTCCTGTGAAAGTCGGCAACAGAGACTCCGGAGCTACAGCTATTACCTGTCAGCCTCCAGCCAGGGAGTGGAGCTGGGGGGTGTGGCCAGGAGTCTTTGGGGAGGGGACGATGCATGTGTGACAGTGAGTACTCAGCGAATACTCAGCAAATACCCAGCACGATGGGGCTACTGTGCATGTTTTCGAAGGCGGAATTGTGACTGATAGTCAAGCCAGGGGTGGGCTTTAAAGAGTTATTGGAAAACAGAAAATGTTATTTAGCTGCAAAAATCTTAGTCATGCATCCTAAAATAAACCATTTAAGGTCATGTAACCATTTAAAGCTCCCAGAAGCTACCAATCTAGGATACTGACTCACCTAAGTGAAGCAGAATGATAGAAAAACAAAGATGTATCATGTGGTGTTGAACAAACACACTTATGTTCATATACTTCATACTGATATATATATATTTTTTTTGAATGGTTTAAAGTGGTGGCCTGGCATGATAGTACAGGACAGTGGTTTGGATGCCCAGGCAATCAGCAGAGGACAAAACATGACCAACTTACAGCTGACTTGTTGGCACCACTCAGGGTGAAGCTCACATGTGCCTTGGAGACAGAGAAGACAACACACCTAGATGAGACCTTCTGATCGTCCCATGGGCAAAGCAGGTGCTATCACTTAGGGTTTCCTCTGTGTAAGCCCTTGTGGTTCCTCCCAGGAACCAGGGGAAGCTGTGTAAGCTGGGGTGGCCTGCAGCTCCAGGATTCTGCACAGTCTGGCCCAGTAAACCCCTGTGATTACTGCAGGAGCCCATCACGTTGCGAGCAAATGTTTGAATAGGCCAGTCGAGAATGACCCCTGCTTGTTCTGGAACAGACCAGGATCTTCTGGAGCAAGGACATACCAAGAGAAAGACAGTCCCGTCCTTTATGAGTGGCTACCTCTTGTCTGAAGCTGCATTCGGGTTCTCTATTTTTATGGAGTTACTCCCAAAACTTTGTTGCTTTTAACAAAAGCCTGTTGTTCTACTCATGACTCTGCAATTTGAGGGACTCTGGGGGACAGCCTGTCTCCAATCCACACAGAGTCCTCTGGATCCTCCTGATGGAGAGCTGGAAGATCCACTTCCGAGATGGTGTAGGGACAGGGCTGGAACGTTGGTGCTGGCCGTCCACTGGGGGCTCAGCCAGGGCTGAGGGCGGGGGCCTCTGCGTCTCTCCCTGCAGGCCAGAATTCTCGCAACGCAGGCCGGCTTCTAAGGACAAGCACCCCAAGGGAGAACCAGCTGGGATCTGAATCACCTGTCTTGTCCTTGCCTTGGAAGTCTCCTGGGGTCACTCCATCCCCCGGTGCTCCCAGAGGCTTGTCCACTGTCACACACGGGGCGTTACAAGGTTCTGGAGGAAGATGTGGGGTGGGAAATAGAATTGTGACCACTGCAGAATAGACTCAGGATGACTCCTGTGTGACCTTCACTCACCCATCATTGGTCACAGCACAGTTACACGAACTGGGTGCGCACCCTGTATTAGTCTGCTCAGGCTGCCTTAATGAAATACCACAGATGGCGGGGTGGGGGGGTGGAGGGGACGCTGGTTGGTGTCTGGTGAGAGCTGTCTTCCTGGGTGGCCCTTTCACTGTGTGCTCACGTGGTCTTCCCTTGGTTCCAGTGCAGAGATGGAGAAGAATCTCTCTTTGGTGTGTCTCTCATAAGGACACTAGCCCTATCAGTTCAGGGCTCCACCCTTACAACCTCATTGAACCTTAATTATTCGCTTAGAGGCTCCGTCTCCACATACAGCCACTCTGAGAGTCAGGACCCTAGTGCATTTGACCCTGGAGAACTGCTCTTTCCGCCATGGTGCTTCCCTAAGGAGCACTGGTTTCTGCCTGATGGGCTATATTGCCACATTCATTGCCCTGCCTTGATTTCATCTTTATTCAGTATTGGAGAAGGATGCAGACCCTTCGAAGAGGCACCCTCACAGGGCTCCAAGTGGACCGCTGAAGGCTGCTTCCAGAAGCAAGGACTGCAAGAGAGCTTCTTGACCCCTTGTAAATGGTCTGTACACCGATTATACTTGCAGAAACCCTAAAGCCAGAGCACCTATGTAATTATTTTTGTGAGCATCAAGGCCAGGGGAAGCTCCAGAGATAGTGTCCCAGTCAACAGCCAGTTTAGGGACAGGAGAGAGTGCTGGGAGAGAAAACTCAAGACATGGGTAGCTGTGGGAAGGACACTGCAGGGAAGAAAGGGACATGGGATGAGTTCCCAGGGCCTCCCCCCAAAGACAAGGAGGGCAACCCTGGCCGGTGTGGCTCAGTGGGTTGAACGCCATTCTGTCAACCAAAAGGTCACCAGTTGGGTTCCTGGTCAGGGCACATGCCTGGGTTGAGCCCAGGTCTCCAATAGGGGACGCTCGAGAGGTGTCCAATCGATGCTTCTCTCCCTTTCTTCGTTCATTCCTCTCTCTCTAAGAAATAAATAAAATCTTAAAAAAGAGAGAGAGAAAGGGAGTGCACAGGTGAGCATGTCCAAACCTTAGAAGGGGTGATGGACACCCGACAGCTAGACCTGTGTGGCGCCTACGTGGGGCTGCCCAGTGCCAGCTGGAGCTTTAACCACCCAGCTTCACATTTTAATTTGAACCTTAACCTCCTGTGAAGTCTTAATCCTCTATAGTCACACAGTAATCTATCCATTTTCCCATTGTCTTTTACAATTGTTATTTCTGCATGTATTTTATTACCCCACCCCATCTAAATTTGGAATTCTTCAAAGGATACCCGTGTCACTCTCTTCATAGTTGCACATTTTCTGCTGTGCAGTAGGCACTGGCAGGAGTTTGTCGTCACAGGTTTCTCTATTCACTGACACTGGCAGAGAAAGGACACAAGAGGGCGCTCCTTTTCTTCTAATCTGAGTCCAGAGAGCTGAACCTTTTCTGCCCATTTTAGGTCTTTTGAAAACAGACATGACTGATGGTGAAAACATTTTTCACTTGTAGGAAGAGATTTTTGGGAAAATTTTGAATATTTAAAGCATCACGCTTGGGGAAATATTCAGCTCATTTTGAATCAATAAAACAAATATTCATATAGTCAATGTTTGAAGAACTCAGTTTAAGGAAGAAACACAAGGAGAGGACACCCTAAAAAACTGGAATTACAGTGTTTTTCTGTGTGTAAGCACCCACACATTTGTGCACATTATACACGGGATTAGTATACACATTAATATACCCATGCTATGTAATCATTATACCCATGTATGATGTACATCTTTTCCCTAAAAAATCTGGGCAAAAACGTGCTCACAATACACAGCAAAATACAGTACCTTCTGGAGGGCTTGGTGAATGAGCTAAGAACCCAACTGTATCAGTGCCAACTGGTGGTATTGTGAGAGGCTGAATTTGGTGCTTGTGAATTTTTTTTAAAGACTCTTTCAATGTGCCTGCCCATTTCATGATGGGTGATTTATGAGCTTGCCTGCCTGCATCATGCTGAGTATTCAGCAGTTTTTGACTAAAAATGGCATAATCCCTGTGCCCCACCCTCTCTATTCACCCAACCTCTCCCCCAGACACTTTTTCTGTTTCCCTGGATGAAAAAAGTCCTCAAAGGGAAAGGTTTTGCCAGTGTGGAAGAAGTGAAACAAAAATGGCAGAAGCACCAAAAGACATCAAAATCAGAGTTCAAAACCATTTTTGAGCAGTGGGAAAAAAGTCTCAATACGTGTATTGCATCAAATGGAGAGTACTTTGAAGGTGACCAAAGATTAAACATGTAAGAATTAATACACAATTTTTATAAATAAATTCTGGTTTTGGGGGGTGCCACCTCATATATTTTAAAAAAAATAACCAACCCCTTTACTCCATTAGGGTGACTTATCAAAAATACAAAGTAACAAGTGTTGGCAATGATGTGGGGAATTGGAACCTTGGTGTATTGCTGGTAGGAATGTGAACTACCTGCTGCTATGGAAAACTATGGTGGTTTCTCAAAAAATCAAACACAGAACTACCATATTTCAGCAATTCCACTAGTGAGTATATACCCGAAAGAATTGAAAGCAAGGACTCAGAGATATCTGTGCAGCATTAG